CCCCAAAGTGCCGGGATTACAGGTGCCAGCCACCACACCCTGACAAGAAGTCTTTTTTATTTTTATTAATAAAAAATATTATCTGGGTACAAGGTATGCTCATTGCTACAAGACCATGGTTTAAACCTTTTTAGTAGATGGAAGAAGGTGTCGTATATATGAATACATGCATATACATTTCCTTTAAAAATAGTCCCGAGTTCACACTGATATATCCAATGCAAATAGTTTTATAAGATGTTTATGGAACCTCTTCTGTATTACATCTGTAGTTCCTTTCTTCCACACTTGAAATCTTTTGTTTGCAAGGACACAGGGGTTGATAAAAATGGGAAGATGCTATCATTACTGGTTAAAATGACTCAAGAATTCATAAGGGTTAAAAACTCCTTTAAACCTTAGGTTGTGTGGCAAATATATTGCACTGATCCACTACTGTAGTTGCAAAACGCTTTCCAGTTTCAGCTGCTGGTTTCCCAACAACACGTGAATCCACGTTGCAGTTTCAGCATGCTCCACTTCTCAGGTCCCTAAGACGCCTTGCGGCTTCCCTTCTATTTCTACTGCACAGAGATGCCAAAGGCATGCTGGCCTTCTAGCTGTTGGTGATTTGTTCCCACTCACTTGTTTTTTGGAGTTCATGAAGATGCCCTGTCATCTAGTTTTGTGGTAAACGTGTTTATGAATTTTTTTCTATTTTTTTGAGGGGGAATTTGGGGAGATTCAAATCTATGTTAAGCATTATTGCCTCCATCTTCCCCAGCTGGTATTATTTTCACAGATGAGAAAACTGAGCCTCAGGGAAAAACCTGATTTGCCCAAGATCACACAGCCAGTGACAGCACAGAAATGTATGTGAGGTCACCTGCTTTCATGCAAGGTACACAGAAGATGCCTAATATAGACCACTCCCTCCTCATCTTCCTCCCTGCTTTCACTGGTCAGTGTCCTTACAGGATTCTGGAGGTTTTTTGAGGGGGTATTTTTGTTTGTTTGTTTGTTTTTTGAGGTGGAGTCTCACTCTGTTGCTCAGGCTGGAGTGCAATGGCACAATCTTGGCTCACTGAAACCTTCGCCTGCCGGGTTCAAGCAATTCTCCTGCTTAAACTTATTGCGTAGGTGGGATTACAGGCACCCACCACCATACCTGGCTAATTTTTGTAGTTTTAGGAGAGATGGGGGTTTCACCATGCTGGCCAGGCTGGTCTCGAATTCATGGCCTCAAGGGATCCACCAGCCTCGGCCTCCCAAAGTGCTGGGATTACAGGTGTGAGCCACTACACCCAGCCCCAGGATTCTGTTATTGGCAATCAAAATGAGATTATCCATGCAAAGAGCTCAGCACTCTACCAATGAAAGCATTCAACACCTGTTAGCAGTTAATATATGATTTTATGGTTGATGAACCCAAGGGTTAGAGAGGCAGATAATTGTTCCAATGTTACACAGCTGGTGAGTGACGCAGGATTTAAACTCAGGTCTGTCTGACCAGAACCCAGCGTTCTTTCTCCCACAATAGTAGTTCTTAATTTGGAGCAGCTTTGTCTCCCAGGTGGTACTTGGCAATGACTAAAGGTATCTTTGGTTTTCATCACTGCGAATGTGGAGTGCTACTGCCACCTAGTGGGCAAAGCCTAGGAATGACATTACACATCCTACAGATTGAGAGAACAACAGATTACCATCTGGGCTCTCTGTACCAGTAGTAGGTCCTAGGTTTGGGAGTTAGGAAAGAAGCTTATTCCAATATCTAGGAAAGCATTGTTAGGACAGGGTCAACCCTCACCATTTGCCACAAGAGCGGCTATTGGCAGGGTGCAGTAGCTCACACCTGTAATCCTAGCACTTTGGGAGGCTGAGGCGGGCTAATTACCTGAGGTCGGGAGTTTGAAACCAGCCTGACCAACACGGATAAACCCTGTCTCTACTAAAAATACAAAATTAAGCCGGGCGCGGTGGCTCAAGCCTGTAATCCCAGCACTTTGGGAGGCTGAGGCGGGTGGATCACGAGGTCAGGAGATCGAGACCATCCTGGTCAACACGGTGAAACCCCGTCTCTACTAAAAATACAAAAAATTAGCTGGGCATGGTGGTGCATGCCTGTAATCCCAGCTACTCGGGAGGCTTAGGCAGAGAATCGCTTGAACCCAGGAGGAGGAGGTTGCGGTGAGCCAAGATCAGGCCACTGCACTCCAGCCTGTGCAACAAGAATTAAACTCTGTCCCCCCTGCCCCCCACCAAAAAAAAAGACTACCCTGGCCAACATGGCAAAACCCTATCTCTGTTAAAAATACCTGGCTGTGTGCAGTGGCTCATGCCTGTAATCCCAGCACTTTGGGAAGCCGAGGCGGGCAGATCACGAGGTCAGGAGTTCGAGACTACCCTGGCCAACATGGCGAAACCCCTTCGCTACTAAAAATACAGAATTAGCCTGGTGTACTGGCAGGCACCTGCAATCCCAGCTACTCAGCTGGGGCAGGAGAGTTACTTCAACCTGGGAGGTGAAGGTTGCAGTGAGCCAAGATGGCGCCACTGCACTCTAGCCTGGGCGACAGAGCAAGACTCCTTTTCAAAATAAATACATACATAAATAAAAATACCTGTTTACCTAGCGTAAGAAAAGGTGTAAATTCATTTATATGTTTGTAAGTTCATCAGCTTTTTGCCCATTAAAAAAAACTGGAGGCTTCAGGAATTTGAGTGACTTGGCTAAGGTGGCACAGCCAGGATTAGGGATGCCAGATGGTAGGCTGAATAATTCCTCCACACCACCACTAAAAGATGTCCTCATGCTAATGTCTGAAACCCGTGAATATCCTACCTTATATTTTTGGGTTTGTTTTTTGTTTTGAAAGAGTCTCATTCTGTCACCCAGGCTGGAATGCAGTGGCATGATCTAGGCTCACTGCAACCTCTGTTTCCTGGGTTCAAGCCATCCTCCTGCCTCAGCCTCCAGAGCAGCTGGTATTACAGGTGTCCACCACCATGCCTAGCTAATTTTTGTATTTTTAGTAGAGATGGTGTTTCACCAGGTTGGCCAGGCTGGTCTCGAACTCCTGACCTCAAGTGATCCACCCACTTCAGTCTCCCAAAGTGCTGGGATTACATGTATGAATCACTGCGCCCGGCCTTACCTTCCGTTTTAAAAGAGATTTCACAGATGTAATTAATATAAGGATCTTGATATGGTACCATTATTCTGGATTATCTGGGAGCACCCAATGTAATCACAAGAGTCCTTATAAGAAGCAGGAAGCAGGAAGATCAGTCAGTAGTAGATGTGACAACTGAAACAGGAGGCTGAGGTGATTCAAGGAGGGGGCCATGAGCTAAGGAATGCAGGTGGCCTCTACAAACTGAAAAAGGTGGAAAGAAATTGATGTCCCCAGAAAGATGCAGCCTTGCTGACACCCTGACTTCAGATGTTTGACCTAGAAAACTGCAAGAGAATATATCTGTGTTGTTTCAATCCACGAAGTTTGTAGTAATTCCTTGTAATAGTAACAGGAAAAAAATACATGGATTTAGCATGCAAAACAAAACCCATGATTCCCAGCAGCTGAATTTGAATTTCCTACAAACAACAATTTTTAAAGTATAACTATGTCGCAAATGTTACATAAGACATATTTTTTATTTAAAAAATTTTTTTTTAATTTGTAGATTTATTTTATTTTTTTATTTTTTTGAGATGGAGTTTTGCTCTTGCCCAGGCTAGGGTGCAATGGCGCCATCTCAGCTCACTGCAACCTTCCCCTCCTGGGTTCAAGTGTTTCTCCTGCCTCAGCCTCCCAAGCATTGAGGATTACAGGTGCCTGCCACCACGTCCAGCTAATTTTTGTGTGTGTGTGTGTGTGTGTGTATTTTTAGTAGACAAGGGTTTCATCATGTTGACCGGGCTGGTCTCAAACCCCTGACTTCAGGTGACCCACCTGCCTCAGCCAAAGTGTTGGGATGACAGGTATGAGCCTCCATTTCCGGCCTATTTTTGTGGGTTTGGAAAGGAACGTATTTACATGTTTATCTGAAATTCAAACTGTAGTGAATATTCTATATTTTTTATGAAGCTGAGAGCAGGAGTCAAAACTCATGATTCCCAGGTCCCCTCCACACTGCCACCCTCTGCCCCTCAATCTAGCATCTGGCAGAAACTGCCATGTTCTTATGGCCCTCATGGATCATTTCCCATCTTCTTGGGACTCCTCCCTCCCCTGGGGTAGAGAAACGAAAAGACTGTTTAAGGTCGCCTCTTGGGGCTCCGAGTTCTCCTTGACCACCAGAATTTCTCTCTAGAAATGGCTTAGTGTCTACTCTGCCTCAGAGGGACCTAGGAGATTTGTCTAAAAGTTGCAGTTGCACAAAATCCTTGCGGGGGGATCTTGATGGACTGGGATGGGAGTTAGTCATGTCTTTGTCTGGAGGGAACTTCATGAGCCCAAAGCAGGAAAAAAGTGATTATTGAATCAGGCTCCAGAGCAAGAATCAGGTTTCAGATGAGGAAACAGAGGCCCAAGGAGGAATGGGGACTTGCTCCAGGTTACTCAGTTAATGACAGACAGACGTCTCCTGGTTTGGAATCTCCCCTTTTGGAGCAGACAGTCCTGATAGCAGCCGTAATAAAGGAAGTCTAGAATGCTAATCCTGAGATCTGGGTTTGAAGCCCTTTACCGCCTTGATTGCCAGTTTCCCTTTCGTGAAATAAGGGAATTGTGTAAATATGAGGAGTTAATGAGATCATGGATGTGAAACAACAGGTACATGTTAGCATGTTCTTGGAAAATGGCAGCTTCGTTCCCTCCTTCTCTGAGCTTCAGCTTCCCCATCTGTAAGCCGGCTTTGACAGGTGGCTGGCGCCCCAGCTCCTCCCAGCCACTCCGGGTCCGCAGCGCCGAGTCCCGGCCGCTAGGTGGAGACAGAACGCCGGCGTTGCCGGGAGGTGTCGCACATGCGCGCTCCTAGGCGGAGCCCCGCCTCCCACGCCCTGGCACGTCACTTCCGGCGCGAGGGGCCGGGCCGGCCGGGCCGGGAGTGCGGGTCGTTTCTGCGCGCGCTGCCGGACGAGGCTCCCGCTGCCGATTGACCCGCGCTCCGCCCGTAGCCGGGCCGGTGAGTGCCCGCGAGCCCGTCCGTGTGCCCTGGGGGCCAAGGAGAGGGACCCCTGAGAGGGAAGGATAACCGGAAGTGGGTACCAGAGGCGCGAGAGACCCCAGGAAATGGGGACACCTGGGGAGGGGGTGACAGCCGGAAGTGGGGGCCTCGGAAGGTTGTCCATGAGATGTGGGGTTCGGGGGCTCCAGGAGAGATGGCCTCCTGACCTCTGCTTGTTGAGAGGAAGGGGTGGAGAGGAAAGTGATGCTCCGGAAAGCGATGGGCTCCAGGTGGGGGGAGATCCCCCGGCTTCACCCGTAAGTGGTGTCTGCGTCTCACTCATATGTCCGCCCGTCAGCTCATTCATCAGCTTGTGACTGAGCCCTGCTGGGCGCTCGGCACTGCTGAGGCCCTGGAGAGTCAACAGGAAGCTCCAGGTGGAGGGTAGAGATGAGGAGCCCAGGGTGGGGCTAGACGCATCCTTGCTCTGCCTCACCGGGTGCCCCCTTGGCGCATTGTTTAACCTATATCCCCCGCTGGTGTGTACAGGCCACTGCCATGTGTCAGGCACTGGGGGTGGCAGCGGCCGTGGCAGACAAGCACTCTGCTCTCGTGGAACTTACATTCTAAGAGGCAGTGCTCCTTGTCCTCCTTTTTAGAATGGTAACAGTAATAGCGCTCTCACCAAATACTGTGAAAATTAAATGAGGAAATGCATAAAGGGTTTAGCAATGCTTGATATATGGTAAAATGCTCAAGTATGCATTATCTTCATTCCACTGTGCTGTAAGCTTCGTAAGACAAGGAATTAGATTGTTTGCATGTGCATTCCCAGTGCCTGTGAGCACAGTGCCTAACATATATGGTAGGTGATCAGTCATTATTGGATAAATGAATAGGTGGTGAAATTGAGCCTGGTTTTATGTAAACGCCCATGCCATTGGACTGTAATTTCTAAAAAAGAAATAGGAAAACTGGAGGGAATCATCCTCAGGTAGTTTGGGAAGGATTCAGAGGAGGTAACACGGCAGCCGAGTCTTGAAGGCAATTTGAGCAGTCTGATTAAGAACAAGAGAAAATTTCAGGTAGAGTGTATCAGAAGTGCGCGAGGTGTTCCAAGGATGATGGGTCATCAGTTTGTTTTGACTGGCATTTAATGTGCATCAAGGTGGGGTGAGGTGGGAAATGAGGCAGGAGGTGAGGCCTATGCCTTGTGAACACTAGTTTGTCACAGGTAGACACTAGATTGGGATTGCAGGCATCTCTTGGTGACTTCCCTAGAAACAAAGCCATAGTTGTTCCATTCTTCACTTAGCATACCTCTGCCAAGCAGACTAAAGTCATTCAATAAATATTTACGGAGTGCAGACTCTGTGTCTTAACACCACAGTTAAATGCTGGATTTAAGATAATGAAGAAGACATACTTGGATGTTGCTCACAAATTGCCAACAGACAGTTGCACCAGAGTGGGAGAAGTGTAGGGGAGGCTCCTCACCTGGCCTGGGGGTCAGCAAAGCTACCTGCTCCAGGCCACCAGCATCTCTCACCTGGATTATTGCAATAACCTCTCAATGGCCTCTTTGCTTCAGTCTTCACCCCCTTAGAGTCCATTCTCAAGACAGCAGAGTGGTCCTTTTAAAATATATTTTTATTTATTTGTTTGAGATGGAGTCTCACTCTGTCCACCCATGCTGGAGTGCAGTGACATAATCTTGGCTCACTGCAACTTCTGCTTCCTGGTTTCAAGTGATTCTCCTGCTTCAGCTTCCCACGTAGCTGGCACTACAGGTGTGCGCCACCATGCCTGGCTAATTTTTGTATTTTTAGTAGAGACAGGGTTTCGCCGTGTTGGCCAGGCTGGTCTTGAACTCCTGACCTCAGGTGATCTACCTGCCTCAGCCTCCTAAAGTGTTGGGATGACAAGTGTGAGCCACCATGGTCAGCCTGAGAAAAAAATTTAAAAATTAGCCAGGCATGTTGGTGTGTGCCTGTAGTCCCAGCTACCTGGGAGGCTGGGGCAGGAGGATTGCTTGAACCCAGGAGTTTGAGGTTGCAGAGAACTATGATTGTGCCACTGCACTTAAGCCTGGGTGACAGAGCAAGACCCTGTCTCTCTCTTAAAAAACAAAAAAAGTATGGCTGGGCACGGTGGTTCATGCCTGTAATCCCAGCATTTTGGGAGGCTAAGGCAGGTGATCACCTGAGGTTAGAAGTTCGAGACCAGCCTAGCCAACATGGTGAAACCCCATCTCTACTAAAAATACCAAAAAATTAGCTGGGCGTGGCAGCGGACGCCTGTAATCCCAGCTACTCGGGAGGCTGAGGCAGGAGAATCACTTGAATCCAGGAGGCGGAGGTTGCAGTGAGCCGAAGTCACGCCATTGCACTCCAGCCTGGGTGACAAGAGCAAGACTCCATCTTAAAAAAAAAAAAAAAAAAAAAAAAGTCCAGGCACAGTGGCTCACGCCTGTAATCCCAGCACTTTGGGAGGCCCAGGTGGGCGGATCACAAGGTCAGGAGTTCGAGACCAGCCTGGCCAATATGGTGAAACCCCATCTCTACTAAAAATATAAAAAAATTAGCCAGGCATGGTGATGCATGCCTGTAATCCCAGCTAATCAGGAGACTGAGGCCAGAGGCAGGAGACTTGCTGGCGCCGGGGAGGTGGAGGTTACAGTGAGCTGAGATTGTGCCACTGACTCCCACCTGGGTGACAGCAAGGCTCCATCTAAACAAAAAAAAAGTGCATGAATTCAGGTCCTCTAAGAAGCAGACACTAGAATGAGATTAGACATGCTAGAAATTTAGAGGCAATCCCTGTGAAGAACAACACCGGGGAAGGGAGCAGGAGAAGTCAAGAAGAGCCATTGACAGTGATGCAAATCAGCTATGAAGGAGGTTTGGGCAGCAAGTGTCTGCCTGCAGGGCAGTCCCAACAAAGGTTTGGCCAGGCCCTCAAGCCAAAGTTGCTTGTTAGAGGAGCCCCATGTCTCACTCAATCATTGGCTACGAGCAGTGAGGCCAGAGGGCTGTGGGAAGTTTGGCTTTCCCTGGAGAGTGGATCTAGAGGGACAGCCACTGGGGCCGTTTATCAATTACGTTTTCCCAGCAGGAAATCTGACGGGCACATATTCCCAGCTGCCACGATAAGTTACATGGGTACATGGTAAAAAAATTCAAACAGTACAGTAAAAATCCCTTTTCTCCTCTTAAATGTTCACTTGTACAGTTACGCTCCCTAGAGGTAACCATTGGTAAGTTTCTTATATCCTTCCAGAAATTTTCTGTGCATTCACAAGTATATATAGGTGTTTACATTAAAAACGTGATTATTTTCTGTACATTATTCTACAACTTGCTTTTTTAACATGTCAGTTCATGAAGATCTGCCTAATTCCTTTTCATGACTGACTAGTACCCCATTCATATGGTAATATTACTTAACCAGTCCCCCCATCATGGGCGGTTAAGGTGTTTCTAATCTTTTATCATTATAATCAATACTTGTGAAGGCCATGTGCATATTTTGCACATATATACAAGTATATGTCTTAGAAATGGAATTGTTGACCAAAGGGCTTGTGGATTTACATTCTGAAGATATTGACAGCTTCCCTCCAAAGAGGCTATGTCAATTTGTACTCCCAGCAGCAGCAAGCATATCAGAGCACTTTGTTTTGCTGATCTGAATCTCACAGTTGGTTTTTTGTTGTTGTTGTTGTTTGTTTCGTTTTGTTTTGTTTTTGAGACTGACTCTCACTCTGGCTGGAATGCAGTAGGGTGATCTTGGCTCACTGCAACCTCTGCCTCCCCAGTTCAAGCGATTCTCCTGCCTCAGTCTCCCGAGTAACTGGGATTACAGGCATGTGCCACCATGCCCAGCCAAATTTTGTGTTTTTAGTAGAGATGGGGTTTCACCATGTTGGCCAGGCTGATCTCAAACTCTTACCTCAGGTGATCCGCCTGCTCGACCCCTCAAAGTGCTGGGATTACAGGCGTGAGCCACCTCGCCTGGCCTTAGAGTTGTTTTAATTTACATTTATTTAATGACGAATAAGGTCGAGCACCTATTCATACACTTATAAGTAAGGCCCTGATGTTCATTAGGGAGTATATAGACTGCTAGAGCTGCTGATTACCTCCCTGGGGATGCAGCCGGCCTGGGATCAGACTTGTGTGTATGGTTTAGATCCAGTTCATTGCCCCCAGTTGAGAAACACTGCTCTGAGGTTACTCGGCTTTTACAGGAAGTGTTCCTGTCCCCTGCACTGTGCTGCCCTGGGATTTGGAATAAGCATTGTTAAGTCTTGTTAACGTGGCTTAGGGCTTCTGTGTTGGCAGGGACCCTGGTAGCTAATGTCAGAAGAAAGTGACTCTCTGAGAACCAGCCCTTCTGTGGCCTCACTCTCTGAAAATGAGCTGCCACCACCACCTGAGCCTCCAGGCTACGTGTGCTCACTGACAGAAGAACTGGTCACCAAAGCCCGGGAAGAACTGCAGGAAAAGCCGGAATGGAGACTTCGAGATGTGCAGGCCCTCCGTGACATGGTACGGAAGGAGTACCCGAACCTGAGCACGTCCCTCGATGACGCCTTCCTGCTGCGCTTCCTCCGGGCCCGCAAGTTTGATTATGACCGGGCCCTGCAGCTCCTCGTCAACTACCACAGCTGCAGGCGAAGCTGGCCTGAAGTCTTCAATAACTTGAGGCCATCAGCCTTAAAAGATGTCCTTGCTTCCGGGTTCCTCACCGTGCTGCCCCACACTGACCCCAGGGGCTGCCATGTCGTCTGCATCCGCCCAGGTATCTCCCTAGACTGCTGTGGGGCGTGCGTGTCTGCTCTTGCTGCAGTGTGTCCATTCGGCACTCTGCCCTCCTTTCTGAGTCCCTTTTTTACCCCTCCTTTGTCATAGTCAAGGCCGTTTGGATTGCAGATGACAAAAACCTACTCAAACCAACTTCAGAAAAAAGGGAGGATTTAGTCTAAGGAAACAGGAGTATATCCCAGAACCAGAAGAGAGCTGAAGGTGTGGCAGCTCTTACTAGGGCCTAGAACCGAGAACCAGAATGCCACCAGGAGCCAAGACAGCCATTCTTTCTGTCTCTGCCTGAATGGCTGTGTGTCCGTCAACCACGCATTTCTGCCTTTTGCACATCTTCTTCACACTTTTTTCTGTGTATGGCTGTCCTAACTGTGGTGCATGTAGTTAAATCTGGCACCCCCTCAGCTCTCAGGTTTGCCTGACCCCCAATTAAGTGCCTCAATTCAGATTCCAGATTTCTAGTGGGGAGCATCTGGTGGGGCTGAGGAGCCTGCCCCTGGCCGCAGGATACACGCATGGCTGCCAGGGCCCTCCCTGAGTCCTCTTTGTGGGTAGTTTGTAGTTCAGGTATCAGTGCAAGGGTGTGGACTGGGCAGACACCTGGAAAGCTGCCTCCTCTGTGCCTCCTCCAACCTGTGCTTCCTTGCCTCTGTTTTGTTAAGCCACTGGCAGGATTCACTTTGGATTTGTTTTTTCATCTTAGCACTTCATGGCAGTAATCAGGACACCTTACATTTCTTTGTCATGGTAGTTTATGAATGGGGGCTCTCTGCCACTAAAAGAGCATTTAGAAATACTCCCCAGCCAGGCGCAGTGGCTCATACTTGTAATCCCAGCACTTTGGGAGGGCAAGGGAGAAGGATTGCTTGAGGCCAGGAGTTTGAGACCAGCCTGGGCAATGTGATGAGACCCTGTCTCTACAAAAAATTTAAAAAAGAAAAAAACCAGAAATGCTCCCCAAAGAGCATTTCAACACAGTGACCAGGGGCTGCCGGAACTCAAGATTTCTGATTCTTAGGCCTGTTCTCTTCCATGACACCAAAAGCATTATGAACTTCAGAATGTTCCACCCCACTCCTAGCTTCCATCAGAACAGAGCTGAGAGAAAAATGGAAAGTAAGACGCAATGTTCTCCCCAAGTAAGCCAGGGAACGAGAACACACTGGTAGCCCTCTTTTGCTCATGCATGTAAACACCCTCTTGAAGGGAAGTTTGATGGGGAGTTGACGCCTCCATGCACTTTCCTCTGCCTTTAGTCATTCCCCAAACTCTGTTTAGAAGCTAAACCATTCTCTCCAGACTTTACTGTGTCTGTACCAAGACCACTGTTAATGGCTTACCTGCTATTGTAGGTACTTGCCAAAATTAGCGGTGTTTATTTTAAAATAAGCAATGCAGTGCAGATTTTCAGGCATCAGGAGACCTAGAAACCAGTCAGCAGGTTTTTCGGCTCCTCTTTACTCGACTCCTAAGAATATTACAACACAGTCAGATATTGCAACACTGATTGCACCTTTGCTTGCATGGTTTCAACCCTTTGCTCGTGAGTGAATTTTTTCCCCATATGTCTGGAACAGATCTGGACCCCTTCCCACCAACCCAGCCTTTTAGGAGGAGGCATACACAGAAACATTTGTTTTCAGCTGGGCATCAGCTTTGCCTTTGTGAAAGCTCTTTTAAGGCATGTGATTGAAAGGAATAATATCCAGTTAAACAGAGGCAGGTTTAATTGGCAGCAATGTTAAACAGCAAGCTGGCACAATTTGGGGACAAAGATCTTTCATAAGAATTTTGCACATACCACATATCTCATTGTTGGCAAATGTGAAGTTTTATCCTTTTTTTTTTTGAGACAAAGTCTTGCTCTGTCGCCAGGCTGGAGTGCAGTGCTGCACTCTCAGCTCACTGCAACCTCCGCCTCCCGGGTTAAAGTGAATCTTCTGCCTCAGCCTCTCAAGTAGCTGGGACTACAGGCGTGTGCCACCACGCCCATCTAATATTTTTGTATTTTTAGTAGGCGGGGTTTCACCATGTTGTCTAGAATGGTCTCAATTTCTTGACCTTGTGATCTGCCCTCCTCAGCCTCCCAAAGTGCTGGGATTACAGGCATGAGCCACTGCTCCCAGTGGTGAAGTTTTATCTTTTAAGAAAGAGGCACACAGATTTTTGCTGCGATTTTCTTGAGAATAGTGGTTAACAGTAAAAAAGGGTATTTTCATTTTTTCTTCCCCAAAGAGAGGAAAGAATCATTAAATACATGGAGCGTGTTAAAGAAGTATCCACCTTAGAAAGAGGAGTTTTATGAAGGAACACAGCACTATGCTTCCTTCTCACAGTACTCCCCTCAAGGTTGTGTATGAGTCAAGACTCAGTTTTTTTGTTTGTTTTTTTGAGACAGAGTCTCCCTCTGTTGCCCAGGTTGGAGTGCAGTGGTACGATCTCGGCTCACTGCAACCTCTGCCTCCTGAGTTCAAGTGATTCTCCTGCCTCAGCCTCCCAAGTAGCCGAGACGACAGGCATGCACCACCATTCCCAGCTAATTTTTGTATTTTCAGTAGAGACAGGGTTTCACCATGTTGACCAGGCTTGGTCTTTAACTCCTGACCTCAAATGATCCACCCGCCTTGGCCTCCCAAAGAGTTGAGATTACAGGCGTGAGCCACTACATCTGGCCAAGACTCAGTCTTTGGGTGGCAAGTGACAGAAAGCCAACTCACACTGGCTGAAACAAGCAAAAAACACAGTTGCTCAGATAACTGAAGTCTAGGTGAAGCTGGATTTAGGGGCCCAAACTCTGGCACTGGAAAGCTGTCTCCACTGCTGCTGTCCTCAGCAGGGTCTTCATTCCCAGGCCAGCTCTTTTGCCTCCTGGGGCCTGTGAATCTCGGACTCACAGCCTCAAAACTACAAGAGGAAAGAGATCTCTTTCCCAAGGGCCAGAGTCCTAGAATTGAGTCTCCTCGACTCTGCTTGACCTGGCTTGCATCCCACACTGTGGCAAAAAGGATGTGCTGTCAGATTGGCCAATCGGTCCCTAGTCACTCACTCCCTTCTGAAGTCAGGAGTCAAGTCAGTTCTATCCAAACTGCATGGCTGGAGTGGGAGGAGGTAATTCCCTAAGGAAAATCAGATTGGTGCTATGAAGATAAGGGGAAATAGATGACAGAGTAAAGCACAGATGTCCATGAAGGCAGGTATTATCACCCTATTCTACTTAGGAGGAGATGAGGGCTCAGTGAGGTATTGAAGTACCTTGCCCACAGTTACACAGCTAGTAACATTCAGACCCTAAGGTGTGTCTGACTTCAGAATGCATACTTTTTTTTTTTGAAATGAGTCTCACTCTGTCACCAGGCTGGAATACAGTGGCGCAATCTCAGCTCACTGCAACCTCTGCCTCCCCAGGTTCAAGTGATTCTCCCGCCTCAGCCTCCGGAGTAGCTGGAACTACAGGTGTGCACCACCACACCCAGCTAATTTTTGTATTTTTGGTAGAGACGGGTTTTACCATGTTGGCCAGGCTGGTCTTGATCTCTTGACCTTGTGATCCGCCTGCCTCGGCCTTCCAAAGTGCTGGAATTACAGGTGTGACCCACTATGCCTGGCCCAGAAGGCATGCTTTTTACTTCAGAAAGAATACTTTTTACTTCAGAGAGCATACTTTTTTTTTTTTGAGCCAGGCTCTCGCCCTGTCACCCAAGCTGGAGTACAGTGGCATGATCATGGTCACTGCAGCCTCAACCTCCTGAGCTCATGTGATCCTCCCACCTCAGCTTTCCAAGTAGTGGGACTACAGACACACCGTACCACACCTGACTAACGTTTTTATATTTTGTAGAGATGGGGTTTTGCCTTGTTGCCTTGGCTGGTTTTGAATTCCTGGGCTTGAGTGATCCTCCCACCTCGGCCTTCCAAAGTACTGGGATTACAGGCATGAGCCACTGTGCCCAGCCAGAGCTCATGCTTTTAACCTCAACACTCCATTGTATTTGCATTGCAAAATGTGCTGCTGTTTGGAGTTAAGAAACCAGCTGCTGCTTATCGTTCCATTTGCTAACCTAAATAGAGACACAGCTACTAGAACATCTTTCTTTTCCATTTTGAAACAACAGTGTTAGAAAGGAGATAAATCTTCGTCTGATCACTTATTTAATTTCTGTAACATACTGTCAATCTCTTACAACCTTAGACAGATGGATACCAAGCAACTATCCAATTACCGAAAACATCCGAGCCATATACTTGACTTTAGAAAAACTCATTCAGTCGGAAGAAACCCAAGTGAATGGAATTGTAATTCTTGCAGACTACAAAGGAGTGAGTTTATCAAAAGCATCTCACTTTGGCCCTTTTATAGCCAAAAAGGTGATTGGCATCCTCCAGGTAAGACCCCTGTCTGTCCTGCCTGTTTCGTGGTGGCTTTGGCTTTCCCCAGGGCCTGTCCCTTTACTGTGGGTCTCACATGATACACAAACCGCACATCCCACACCTGCAATCTGAAAAACACAAAAGCATTATGGGAAGAAATTTAAAAGTCCTATTTACCACTTGTTCTTATCAGTCTCTCAAGTACCCTCTGGAGTAGGTACTTCATTGTTAAGGCAAGAGTCCAAAAAACTAGGGAACTGCTTTTTGCCTTTTTTTGATCTGGAAGGCAGAGGAAAAATTCTCCTAACAAACAAAACCTAGCTGGACGTGGTGCCTCATGCCTATAATCCCAACACTTTGGGAGGCCAAGGTGGGTGGATCACTTGAGGTCAGGAGTTCGAGACCAGCCTGGCCAACATGGTGAAACCCTGTCTCTACCAAAAATACAAAAAATTTAGCTGGGCGTTGTGGTAGGTGCCTGGAATCCCAGCTACTTGGGAGGGTGAGGCAGGAGAATCACTTGAACCCAGGAGGCAGAAATTGCAATGAGATGAGATCGTGCCATTGCACTCCAGCCTGGGTGAGAATTCCAAAACTCTACCTCAAAAAAAAAAAAAAACCCTAAGAAATGATGCTTCTGCCCAAGGTGCTGGAGCCCCTCCTGCCCTCTGTGGATCTGGGGGATGTGGTGCTCGGTTGGGCTGTATTTTGGTCAGATGCTTCATACCTCATGTTTTGTGTTTCAGAACATGAGTCACTGGGGTCTGTGGGTTCCCTACATATCTGCACCATGTTTAACGGCTTGCACAGTGCTTTTACAGCCATCAGGGCCCATTCAGTCCTTCAACGAATCCTCTGAGATAGGCAAGGCAAGAACTATTTTTCCTTTTTGATAGATAGGGAAACTGAGACCTAGAGAAAATATAGCCTGTCACAGCTGTGACAAGTTTTGATTACTTGTTCATTCTGACCCGCCATGTGGGGTGTTGTCTTTTGTGAACTATGGGGCACCAATGATACAGTAGGTTTTCTCGCTGGATTCCACAAATGTTTTAGTCCGTGGTGCACCAGGTTTATTATTTAAAGAAATCAGTGCATATGGCCAGGCGCAGTGGCTCATGCTTCTAATCCCAGCACTTTGGGAGGCCAAGGCGGGCGGATAATGGGGTTAGGAGTTCGAGACCAGGCTGGCCAACACTGTGATGGCCATCTCTACTAAAATTACAAAAATTAGTTGGTCATGATGGCAGGTGCCTGTAATCCCAGCTACTTGAGAGGCTAAGGCAGGAGAATTGCTTGCACCTGGGAGGTGAAGGTTGCAGTGAGCCGAGATCTGCATTCCAGCCTGGGGGACAGAGCCAGACTCGGCCTCAAAAAGAAATCAGTGCACATTTGGACATTATCATAAATTTGAATTCTGACTTTGAGCTGACCCTGGCTTTCCTTCACGGGCACTCCTCTTGATGCTTCCTGCTGAACACCACGTAGTTTCAAGTGTCAGGATTAAGAGTGTGGATCAGTGTCTTATCATCTAGCAAAGGGAAAAAATTAATTAAGTTTGGGAAATGTGGTATAGCCTGTCCCTTTCTTATAAATTTCATTGTAAGAATTTACGTTATAGGCTCTGAACAGGACTACAGTTAAGGAAACCCACTTGGTTGTGCTTAGTGGACTGTGTTTCTCAAACTCATTTGCCTGCTGTGGAGCCCTGTTTTGTATATCCTGAGAAATATACTTTGGCAACACTGATCTAGAAGGTCTAATATCTGCCAGATCCATGCCTATAGATTCAGACTGTTTTCTGCTATAAGAGCAACCGCTCTTCATATGTTTGCCTCTCTTCATTTTTTTTTTTTTTTTTTTTTTTTGAGACAGAGTCTCACTCTGTCACCCAGGCTGGAGTGCAGTGGCATGTTCTTGGCTCACTGCAACCTCCACCTCTTGGGTTCAAGCAATTTTCCAGCCTCAGCCTCCCAAGTAGCTGGGATTACAGATGTGTGCCACCATGCCCAGCTAATTTTTGTATTTTTAGTAGAGATGGGGTTTCACCATGTTGGCCAGCCTGGTCTCAAACTCCTGACCTCAAGTGATCTGCCTGCCTCAGCCTGTCAAAGTGCTGGGATTACAAGTGTGAGCCACCACACCCAGCCTCTGTTTGCCTCTCTTCTTACCCAGTTTTGGGTCCCAGGGAAGACTTTCCCTGAGGTCTGTCTTCCTGTTTAGGCCCCACGTGGACTGTCATTGAGGGGGCCATGAGGGTCAGATCAGACTTATGTACTGGAGCTGAAAATGAAGATTTAACTCGGGGGAGGAAGGTGTGGAAAGACTCTGCAGATGTTCTAAACCCCTTTGCCTTTCCCACACAGGATGGTTTTCCCATTCGGATAAAAGCAGTCCATGTTGTGAATGAACCTCGAATATTTAAAGGCATTTTTGCCATCATAAAACCATTTCTGAAGGAGAAAATAGCAAACAGAGTAAGTGATGATCCCATTGACTTGAGATTTTTCTTTCCTCCCTCCACTGATTTATTTGTGACATCTGAAACTTGTTTATTTTTGCCCTGGGACTACTAATTTGGAAAGTAGTTACAGATAAAATAAATGGACAGTCCCTTTTTGTGAGGGGAAGATGGAAGATGAAATTAGTAAGAATGTAATATTTGCCAGTAGAGTGAGCACAGCCAGGATTTTTATCACAAGATCCTCCCAACCTTGGCAGTGTAGCAAGGCCCCAGCTCTAAAAAAATGTTTTTAATTAAGTGGGTGTGCCTGGGTGCAGTGGCTCACACCTGTAATCCTAGCACTTTGGGAGGCTGAGCTGGGCCGATCACTTGAGGTCAGGAGTTTGAGACCAGTTTGGCCAACACAATGAAACCCCGTCTCTACTAAAAATACAAAAAAATAGCCAGATGTGGTGGCACATGCCTGTAACTGCAGCTACTTGGGAGGCTGAGGCACGGGAGCACTTGAATCTGGGAGGCAGTGATTGCAGTGCACCAAGACCATGCCACTGTACTCCAGCCTGGGCAATAGTGAGACTCTGTCTCAACTAAAAAAAAAAATTAGGTGGGTGTGATGGCACATGTGTAGTCTCCACTACTCAGAAGGCTGAGGTGGGAGGATTGCTTAAGCTCAGGAGTTCAAGGCTGTGGTGGGCTATGGTTTTGCCACTGTGTTCCAGCCTGGGTAACAGCAGAACACTCTCTCTAAAATAATTTTTTTTTTTAAAGTTACAGTCATTAGCACTGTGGGGCTTAAAAAATGCTGCCTAAGCCTTTCCATTTGCCTAACATGTCCTGCTATGTAGTTTGTGGAACAATTCAAGGTTTATGAGCTAGGTGAGTTTTTAGCTTACCTCTTATTTAAGAAGGGATGAATGGCACTTTGAGTCTTCCTTTCTGACCTTTCCCAGCACCACTGATTGAAATGGGATGGATGGTATTTTTCTCCTTTCTGAGACCTAGGATGATCATTCCAAAGACGGCCCTGAATTTTACTTGCTTTTCCTTTTTTCTTTTCTTTTTTTTTTTTTTTGAAAGAGTCTTGCTCTGTTGCCCAGGCTGGAGTACAGTGATAAGATCTCAGCTCACTGCAACCTCTGCCCCACAGGTTCAAGTGATTCTCCTGCCTCAGCCTCCCAAGTAGATGGGATTACAGGTGCCCACCACCACACCTGGCTAATTTTTGTGTTTTTAGTAGAAAGGGTTTCACTGTGTTGGCTGGGTTGGTCTCAAATTCCTGACCTCAGGTGATCCACCTGCCTTGGCCTCCCACAGTGCTGGGATTACAGGCATGAGCCACCATGCTGGGCCCTTGCTTTTTCAAAGAAGTAACATATATAGATAGAAAATCTCAAAGTTGTAAGGGAGGGAACTTGAAATCCAGCTCTAGATTCCTCAGCTCTTTCCCTGAAGATTTGATTCATCAGCTCAGGGATCTGTGCTTTAAAATCCCCTTAGGAGATTCTGATGCACAGCTAGATTTGCAGACCACTAATTCAGTGGCTTCCCTGCCTGTCTGTGAACCCATGTGGGTCCATAAAGATTCTGTTTGGAACTTTTACCAAAGCAGCCTTTGGACAAGTCTTTGACACCTGTGAAATGCCCCTGTTTGAGGCTCACGATGTTCTTCCTTTGTTCCTTCATAGGTTCATTCATTCAGAAATACGTATTGATCAACGCTATGTGCAAGCATGTTCTAGATGAACAAAACAGACCAAAATCCCTGCCCCTAGAAGCTTATATTCTAAAGAGAGCCACAGTGAATTATGTTTTCAAGTATTAGAATGTGATAAGTGCTACAGAGAAAAATAAAGCAGAGAAAAGGATAGCATGTGTGAGGTGGGAAAGGTTGCAGTATTCAACTGCGTGGTTAGAGGTGGCGGCCTTGAGAAGCAGACATTTGAGCAAAGACTTGAGAGGTGAGGGAGTGAGCCATCTAGGTATCTAGGAGGCCAGCAAAGGCACGACCCTGCTGTGGGAGCCTGCCTGGCATGCTGGGAGAGCAGCTTGGCTGGCGCAGCTGGGTCAAAACTGGAGGGGCAAGTGGTCAGAGGAGGGCTCAGAGAAGTAACAAGGCAAGATTGTGAGGGGCCCCTGAGTCTGTGAGGTGGGAGTGCCGGAAGGCTGTACATAGAGAAACAACCGTGAACTGACTTTCATTGAAAAGAACTTAGATTGCAGAGGGACAAGAGTGAGGGCAGGGAGACCAGGTAGGCGGCCACTGTAGGAATCCAGGGGAGAAGCGATGCGACATGCTGCCATTAGTGTGATGGTGAGGTGGCTGGATCCTGGATACATTCTGAAGGTCCAGCCAACAGGGCGCATGGTATAAGGAAAAGAGAATTAAGGATACTCGAGGCTTTCTGGGCTGAAAAAGGAAGGATAGGGTTGCCATTAACCTTTCCTTTCTTCATTCAACAGACATTTATTTGAGCACCTGCCACGAAGGAGATTTCTGCATTCCTGATTAACCTAAAAGCATACGTGTTTTCATTTCATTTCCCTTTAGTTCTTCCTCCATGGGTCTGACTTGAACTCTCTCCACACAAGCCTTCCAAGAAGCATTCTCCCCAAGGAGTACGGGGGCACGGCTGGGGAGCTGGACACTGCCACCTGGAATGCAGTGCTGCTGGCTTCAGAAGACGACTTTGTGAAAGAGTTCTGCCAACCTGTCCCTGCCTGTGACAGCATCCTGGGCCAGGCACTGCTGCCTGAGGGCCTGACCTCAGATGCACAGTGTGATGACTCCCTGCGAGCTGTGAAGTCACAGCTATACTCCTGCTACTAGCCTGTCCCCGACGGTCACCATCCTTCATTCTTTTCCTTTTTTTCTTTGGAGAGGCACAAGAATTTAAGGTGCCAAGGATTCAGTCTTGCTCCTTATAATTAAACTACAAGACGGAGGAACAGCCTGTGAGATAGGAGGGGGAGCCCATTTTGGGGTAAGCCTTTGGTTACTTGAATTACTCCATGGAAGACATGGAAAATGTCCCCACTGATTCTTAAACATTTGGGATCCTGGTTTGCAACTGTTAATGTAGAGACTCTATCTGTTTTGTTTTGTTTGGTTTGGTTTGGTTTGGTTGGGGGGTGGTGGTCTGGTTCTTACACATCTTGGAAGCAAGAAAAATCAGGACCAAAGTCACTTTGATCCCACTTTCTAGGATAAAAATCTTTTTGGCCAGTCAGAACTACTTCTATGAAATTATTTGGCCAAACCTGCAGTGTGACCAAATGTGACACTGGGAGTTTGTGTCTTTCACAGAAACCCTAAGTACAGACCTCTGCTGCTCATCGGGAAACTTTAGAGATGCAGGCCCCAGCTACTGTCACTGGGTTTGGAAAGCATCTTAACTGAATCATGTAAGCATCAGGACAAAAGCAGCACTTTGTGGTCAAATGTGAAAGCCGGAAACTTCAAAGCACCTCTGGGACTCATTGGTTGAAGTTTGCAATGGAAACTTAAGTTTTCCCAAATCCACAAAGCCTTAGCCCTGGTTCTCAACAGAATCATACAGGGACCTGGCAGGAAGTGATTTTACTCAACCGAAAATACTGGATTCCAGACCCATGTAGCTACAAGAATTCTGGTCTAGGAATCAGAGACCTGGATCCCACCCAAGTGTGCAACTATGGACAAGACATGGGCCTCTGTGGGCCTCAACCTTCTCTGCAGACTGAGGCTGGATGAAATGTCAGCTAGGGCCCTTTTGGCTACTGGGCCTCTGGGATTCGGTTTAGTTACTCAGTGTTAGATTTTCTGCCTAGAAAGGTAACTATCTAGATACAAGTGGTTGAATCCTGTGGTTTTGTTTTGGTTTTTGTGGTACACGTGTCTTTGCAAGAGAGATGTGTCACCAATTAGCCCTGCCTTTAAAGAAACTACTATGTGTATTCCTGGGACTCAGTGACACCAATTTCGTTTTTATAGTGATGGTTAAATTTGGAAAAGATGGCTTTTGTGAGACCAGGTGAAGCGACCAGGATCTTGTATGATGAATTCCTTCCATCCCTAAGACTCTGGTACTATATTGTAAACCTGGCTATAGTAGTTAATTACTTGAGATTCTTAAATTTCGGTCTCTGGAAATGAACATAGGGGCAGGTTATTGCTGGGTCACTTCTGGGCCCCCTGCCCTCCCAGCCCCACTTGAGTTTCTCTCTCTGGTCTGGGTGAACCAGCCAGCCTGAATGTTCTGCATTTCAGCACTTTAGAACTTCCCTGTCAAGATTTTAGCCTTAGCCCAAGCACCAGTTAGGTGGTTCACATGATAGCTTTCTACCTATTTCCTTTCAGATGTATTTCATGGTGTTAAACAGTGACAAGTATTATGTGTTGTGCGTGCACCTTCTCCGTGCATTTATTAGACTAACCAGCCGAGGCAGATAGCTCAGTTAGGGAGAGAACAGTACTCTGAAATTTGAAGGCCAGTCTGTTGTTACTAAGTTGTTCATCTCTCTCGCTTTTTTACATGTCTGGAGAAGTCGTTGGTGGAAATTAATTTACTTTACCTCATTAATATAATTCTAGAGTTCTTTTCACCATGGATACTAACCCTGGATCCTCTAGGGTCCTGGCTTTGCTGGAAGTGCAAAAAAAGCACTCCCGGCTGCTTCTCATGCCATCTGATGATGATGTGACCAGCATTGCTGAAAAGGCCCAAGTAGGAGAAGTGGGATGGCTGAAGGAGGGGGTTCAGAACCCAGTGGCCTGCATGGGAGAATTGGGTGGAGGCTTTCTTAGGTCCCAAGAGGGAAGACAGATTAAACAAAACAAAAAACTAGGTAAAGAGGAATGAATCACCCAGCCCTGGGGTTTAAATTCTACACTGCATTCCTGGCCTTTGTCTTAACGTCGGCATGGCCAAAGCTCTCCTAGAGAACTATTTCAATAAACCAGACTTGGAGAGGCTTCTTAGGTTTTTCCAGCAGGACAAGGAAGGAGTGGTTTCACTCAGCTTCTGGAATAAGTTGGAGCCTAAGTCATCTGACTCCAGGGGTTGCTTGCTTTGTTTTGGCTCCAAAGAGATATCAAATAGTTTTGATACCTCAGGAAGCTTGAACCAAGCTGTGAAACCAAGACCTCCCTGAGGGTGAAAATCAAGGTGGTCTCCTTGTGGCTTCACCTGGGTGTTTGTGTCACGTTGCCTCAGCAGGGTGGGGAATGACCAGCGAGGGAGCACCGTGAGCATTTCTCAGTAGAGGGGAGCACACTGGTGAGACAAACACATGAACCTCAAGAGCTGGAGGTATTTTCCTTCATGGAGAAGTTCTAGCCCAATGCACAAACACTTGGAAATTAACTTTTCCCTAAATTCAAGGTAGTGTGGCGTCAGGAAATGGGACAGTAAATTGGGAGAGCCGAGCTTCACTTTTACCTCACTGCGTGGCCTTGGATGAGCTGTTAAACATCCCTGAGCGATTCTGTGAGAAAGGCGATCTATACTCCAAACTTTATTCCTGGTTATCTAGTTGACTTTACTGCCACATAGACACTGTGCTCTCTCTTTCTAGAAGCTTTTTCCTTTTTTCCCCCCTCAGCTGTCTTGTTATTTAGGAAATTTAGGTCTGAATGAATTGGTACCTAAAAGCTTCCAAATCAATCTGTAAGTTTCAGAATATGGGAATTTTCTTCCTCTTCTTCCCCCACATCCCAACATGGAATTCTGGAAAGTTGTGCCTCTTCCTAGAATCCTGTTCTGCCTTCATGGGGGAGAGACTGGATGAAATCTACAGAAACAACCAGAAGTGCCAGCCTGGCTTCCTGTCTTGATTTTCTAACTTGCTCTTGGCAAAGGTTGCTTTATTTTTTTTATTTTTTTCTTGCATTTTTTTTTAATCCTGTTGCTGCTGCGCATATCAACGCAAAAGTAGCTTTAGAACTTTCATATTTCATCCTGGTTTCACAAGGAGTCACTTATCTTAGGAAGTTCATTTAAGTCAGGTTAGAAGACTGGGCACAGTGGCTCATGCCTGTCATCCCAGCACTTTGGGGTGCTGAGGTGGGTGGATCACCTGAAGTCAGGAGTTCCAGACCAGCCTGGCCAACACGGTGAAACCCTGCCTCTACTAAAAATACAAAAATTACCTGGGTGTGGTGGTGAGTGCCTGTAATCCCAGCTATTCAGGAGGCTAAGGCAGGAGAATCACTTGAACCCGGGGGCAGAGGTTACAGTGGGCCAAGGTCGCACCATTACACTCCAGCCTGGGCGACAAGAGTGAAATTCCATCTCAAAAATAAATAGAAATAAAAAATCAGCTTACAAAACACGATTTTTTTCCAGAAATGTGACAGTAAGAGTCATTTCTCTGAATTCCTTTATATTGAGACTTTCTGAATTCTCCCTGGGTGGGCAATTTCTTTAAATGCTGTTTGACTCTCAGCTTAGTTGTGGGATTTTTTTTTTTTTTTTTTTTTTCATTTGGGTAGCAAAAGCTAGAGTACTAAAGCCATGGTGATTATAATACCTTTTAAAAGTTTTACCATTTTAAAGTTGCCAGCATCTAAGGTTTTCCTTTAAAGCCTCCTTTCATTTAGGGAGTAAAATGTTAGCTAAACCAATTATATTCATGTGGCTGTCCTGTGGCCATGAGAGGTGTGGAGATACCGAACAGAAACATGTCTACTGTTCAGGAAAGATGTCGGCTCCGGTAATGACTCTCTGCATTGGGATCTGTTAGTTTTGTAAATCTAAATTCTTCTGCTCTCAGCCAGGTGCGGTGGCTCATGCCTATAATCCCAGAACTTTGGAAGACCGAGGGAGGGGCAGATCATTTGAGGTCAGGAGTTTGAGACCAGGCTAGCCATCATGGCGAAACCCCACCTCTACTAAAAAATACAAAAATTAGCTGGGTGTGGTGATGTGCACCTGTAATCCCAGCTGCTTGGTAGGCTGAGGCAGGAGAATCGCTTAAACTGGGGAGGCAGAGGTTGCTGTAAGCTGAGATCGTGCCACTGCACTCCAGACTGGGCAACAAAGCAAGACTTCATCTCACATACATACATACATAAGTAAATTATTCTGCTGCCCTGAACTAAATTCATTCATTCTTCTGTTCTCCTGACTTGGAGAAATGGTTTGTTTAAAATGCTAGTAACAAGCATCAGTAGAGTCTATAGGAACTTGCTTCATGGGAAGGATCGATGTGATTTGTGAATGGAGGTGATGGTGATGAAATTCCTACTTTTCACTGGGCTGTTTTTCTTTTCATCTCACTGGGCAGCAGGCTTAGTGAGGCAGTGAGATGCTGCTGCTGTGGATTCTTGTGGCTGTGCCTCGGCTTCTTGGCATATCAGGTAGGAACCTGTTAAAAGTGAAATACTTGAAACCTCTCTGACCAAGAGCCTCTGATGGAGTGGGAGGTGAGCTAATTTTCTGACCAGCTTGGGCCATCACTTCAGCCACTGTCACAGTCTTTGCTTCAAACTGAAATTCAGTTTGGCTTTGAGTATAGGGATACATGGTGGATTCATGTACTTCAGTGTTTGTTTTGACTAAAAGTTTATTTTTCTAGTGCATTTTCTAAGTCAAAGTGGTGAAAATATGTAATTTTAGTCTGCATGACTGGGTCTGAAACAATAAAAATCCCTGAAAAGTTAAATGTGCGTGGGATTCTTTTGTGATGATGGTTTGGATAAAGGTTCCAAGGTTTATTATTCACAGCCAGGGGAGACAGAGGCTCCCTGCAGGTGAGGGAGGGAGGTGCACTGTGAGAGACAGTGCATTCTGAGGATGCCCCAGCTGCCTCTGAGGAGTATGCGCATTTAGACTGCTGCAGTATGAAGACAGGAGAATGCAGCTGCTTACACAGAGTGGTAGAGGTGGTATGCAAATTTTTACATTCTTGAGGCCCAGCTATACTTCTTGGACTGGCCTTGAATCTTTCTTTTTTTTTTTTTTTTTTTTTTTTTTTTTTTTGAGACGGAGTTTCGCTCTTGTTACCCAGGCTGGAGTGCAATGGCGCGATCTTGGCTCACCGCAACCTCCGCCTCCTGGGCTCAGGCAATTCTCCTGCCTCAGCCTCCTGAGTAGCTGGGATTACAGGCATGTGCCACCATGCCCAGCTAATTTTTTTGTATTTTTAGTAGAGACGGGGTTTCACCATGTTGACCAGGATGGTCTCGATCTTTCGACCTTGTGATCCACCCGCCTCGGCCTCCCAAAGTGCTGGGATTACAGGCTTGAGCCACCGCGCCCGGCCTGGCCTTGAATCTTTCTAATGAGAGCCAGCCATTTCCGGAATGTGCATGTGGGCTGGGCACCCCTGTGGTAATCTCATTTAACCTTCAGCTACCCTTAATGCAGTCATGTGACTGTCCCTGTGGAAAAATTGAGGTACAGAAAAGTAGCTTCCCCAATGACACACAACTAGCCAAATAATAAAGATGGGACACAAACCCAGGAAGTGTGACAAGCCCACTATTTTCTCTGATGGTTGGAAACAAATCACCAGTCCCCAGGTAGAAAAGAGAGAGAAGGCAGGACTCTTTCAGAGAGTAAGAAAGTACAAGAAACTGACTTTTTTCCTGGCTTCTTGAAAATACAAGCCGTGGTTATTAACTTCTGAAACCCAGATTGTAACTGAACATTTTATTCCAGAAGTATACCCAGACTCTGGAGGGGTAACTGGAGCATGGCTCAACCAACTCGGGTCCCATGCTTGCTAAGCTGTTTCTGTGTCCTCTGTTTTTATAGAGAAGCAGGCACTCTGTGCCCCAGAGGAGACAAAACTGGGTCCCCACGGTAGCTCTGGCGAGTTGATGAGTCAGTTGAGAAACACTCTGACACAGGATGTACACTTCCGGTGATGCAACAGGTTAAGTGCTTAACATTGCAGGATGACCAGTCCTTTAGGTCACCCTTGCCGAGGATGTTGTGGAACTTCAGTTCAGTCTGCTTCTCACGTATGGAAAAATGAAGCTAACTTCCAATCCTTTTCTCTCACAGCAGTCTCACGCGGCCCTTTGCTATGAGTCAGTATTTTCTTGCCGCCCCCCTGCCCTCTCCTTACCCAGTACTGGTTTGGCAACCTTACACTCAGTGGCAGCAAAGTTTCACATTATTGCCTTTAAAGCTGGTGAGTAATAAGACCCTTTAGGGTACCACTCTTCTGAGGAAAATTGTTTTTAACCAAATACTCATGCTCTTTCCTGAGTAGGTGCCAGCCACTAGGAGTATGCTGACCTAGTAAAAGACATGAGTCACTGCCTTCAGTTGACTAACTTTACTTTGTAGTGATGGGTAAAGGAGCAAGCACTCTGGGCCCCAGAGTAGACAAAAACTAGGTGCCCATGGTAGATCTGGTGAGTTGGTGACGAGTCATTAGCAGGCCAGATGACCCTTACATGTCTCTAATACATCTTGTCTCTCATATCCTTATGGGCCAAGAGACAATGAGGTCTAATTGAAAAAAGAACTCTTAAGCCAAGCCCTGGGTTTCTCTGTTTCGCCTCTTACTGAGTAACCACAGGCAAGACAGTATCTTCTCTAAGCCTCAAACTGACATATAAAAGGAAGGAGGGAGGGAAATAATCACCACCTCACAGGCATGTGAACACTGTATTTAATGATTGGTACACGTACCTATCTATGTGGTTTCTATTATTACTCTTCACCTGAGGACATAGGCATGGCGTAGCCTGAGTCATCCACCAGTAATCTGGACATCACTGAGTGGGGTGCCTAGATAACAGCATGGATAGACCAACACAAAAGGGGCAGAGATGAACAGCAGCTTCCATTAATAAGCATAAGCCTATCTGTTATCAATCTGCACAGATCAAATGCATGACTCATTATGGGAATACTTGCTTTGGCCTGAATGTGTAAAAAGAAAACAGCCGGGTGCAATGGTTCACACCTATAATCCCAGCACTTTGGGAGGCTGAGGTGGGTGGATCACCTGAGACCAGGAGTGCGAGACCAGCCTGGCCAATATAGCGAAATCCCACTTCTACTAAAAATACAAAAATTAGCTGGGCATGGTGGTCTGTGCTTGTAGTCCCAGCTACCTGGGAGGCTTAGGCAGGAGAACTGCTTTGAACCTGGGAGGTTGCAGTGAGCCCTGCACTCCAGCCAGGGTGACAAGAGCAAAACTCTGTCTTGGGAAAAAAAAGAAAAACAACAAAAAAGAACCAGTTACAGATTTCTTTCTTCCTTCTCCATCCCTCGCTTGACTAGCCAAAAAGGAAAAAACAAAACCTCTATACTGAGAACCAGCTCCACGCTACTCTTTGGCAGTCTGTCTCTCTGATTATGAAGACAAAGTTTTACTTCCCAACCAGGTACCTTGCAAGACCAACTTAGAAAGTAAAGGAGTCCAGCATGGACCTAGAAGCTTTCTCCCAGCTGTAACTAGGTAAAAGCGGCAGCCACTGCTGTTGCCTTTGATGAGTTCCTACAGCATGTTCCTGACCTGAAAGCCAGGGTTCTAACCTGCATTCCCCAAAGCTCGACAAGCCTTTTCATAGTGATGAAACACCAAGGTACTCATCTGGAATGAAATGCCACTCTGAAATCTGATGACTCAAAATACTCCCCTGCTTTAAATAATGATCCTGACCTTACTCAAAATGCTGGCTTACTTATGCTTGTGTATAATTCACTTGAGTCTTCATTAAACTCCTGGGTTTCCTACTAACAAGTAGACTTCACTAATTCTTAGGGTAGGACCAAGCAAAGCAGGGACACTGCCTCCCAACTTTTAAAGAGTGTTTGTTACTTCTATCAAAGTTATCATCACGAGAAAAAAATAAAAACTTTATTGGACTTTGTTACATTTATTTTACATTTAGTATTGTTTGTATTTTGAATTACATTAAGGCGGAGGATGGGCACTGTAATGTTTTTGAAGTTTAGGACCTTTAAAGCTCTTAAGCTGACTCCCCTACTGTAAAGAAAAGCCAGGTATCTGCTTTACACTGGCAAAATAAGGGGCTCCATTTCCCCATCTGTCCCTCAAATCCCTTGCAATGCTATACCATGACATAAACCACTGGTTTAAAAGACAATGATTCCAATAATTGATACCAAGTCCTGCTTCCCTACCCTACCTCCACCCCAACTGAGCCTGTCCCCTCTGTGTGCCTGTGTTTAATTCTGCAACATCTGAAATCCAGCCTCCAACAGATTCCGGCTAAACATCTCTGACCTTTGAATATTGTTTTATTTTAGCCCATAATGAAATTAGCAGCTACTTCCAGTGCTAAAAATGGGTTACACTTTGCAAGATAACTTTATTCTTTAAACAGTCTTATATACTAGGCACCAACACTGAGGCTCAGATGCCCAAGATCTAAAGCATAGTATGTACTCAACAAATATCAGCTGACCAGTTTCACAGCCGGAAAATGGCAAGGCTTGGATGCAAACCTAAATAGTCTGACTCCCAAGCCTCTTAACCATTCTTAAGAAGACCACCTACATCTGCCACCTGAATAAATGGAACCGCTATCCACCCAGATGGTGACACCAGAATCACTCAAAAATCTACCTCTCCCTCATACTATTCATAACTGCCAGTGTTAAAATTCTAATTGCTAAGTTTAAGCCTTCACCTGTCAATTTCTCCCCATCCCTACAATTCCACTTCTCTATTTCACATCTCATATAGACTGCTCCTGGTCTCATCTCTCAAAATTCATTCTCTATATATCAGCCCAAGTAACTGAAGATAAAATTTGTTCATGACACTATGAATGTTTTCAGCTGCCCTCAACATAAGGTCCAAACTCTTTTCCGAGGTTTATAAAGCCCTTTATAACTCAGTCCCTGTCTACATTTTCCCATTCCAGCTTTACTGAACTTTTTTTCCCCATCTCCCTGCCTTTGCCATGCAGTTTTACCTACTCTGCAATGTCATCTCACCTTCCCATTTCTCTCTTAGCTAACTTCTAAGAGTTCTTGGCTTAAACGTCACTTTCTCCAGAAAGCCTACCATGATACTAAATACCTCTCCTTTGAGTTCACTCTAATTCCTAAATCACAGCACAAATTCACCGTATTACAACAATCTGTCGGCTCATTTGCACTCTTCTCCAAACAATTAAAGTCCAAGATGGCAGGGCCTCTATCACATTTAATGTTGTACCCCAAAGCCTATAGGGCCTGATACAGAACAGACAGTAAATCTTTGTTGAAAGAACTCTTTTATTCTACCTTTTTGCACACCACCTCTCATGAAAATATTTCTTGACAATGCCTTCCCTGTCTCTTATTTAGCAAATATCTTACCTAGAGGAGCTGTTTAGGACAACTTTTTTAATAAATTCAAGATTTTGCTCACACATCAGACCGTAATTTTAGAAGGAACAGGAGCATCCTGACTAGAAGCTGATAAAACCTGACATCCAGATAATAAAGAATGGCTGCTAACTCATAAAAGCTGTCAGAAGAAAGGGCCTTAAGATCTTAAAAGTCTTTCTCTTTTAATCAAATACCTTTATAGTGCAAATATAATAAATTCACATGCATTTTACTTTTACATACTCATAACGAGATAATTACAGACTGAAGGTGCAGTGTTTTCCCAAGTGAATCTTCATTTTAACCCAACTCACAAAGCATTTATTGAAATTAACACACCTGGCAAAGCACCAGACTTGAATCAAGCAGCATCAATGCTACAGTGTAAAAAAAGTACATAACAAACTCAAGATGTAGAAGCAGTAGCCATATCAGCAACCATTCTTCTAGGGAAGGGACCCATATATACAATCCTTCCCTCAAGAACTTTGATGCTACCCCTCCAAAGAATTTAAGCACAAAACAGAGTGCTTGTATCATATAAGTAAGGACTTTCACAGAGGAAAACTGTCATATAAATGCTTTTTTTTTTCTTTCTGCTTTTAAAGGATACTGCAATAGAAATATATTAAGCATGGCCTCAAATATCCAACATTTTCGTATCTTACACTTTAAACCAAAATTGTAAGAACCTACAGTCTTTATAAAGAACTCTCTTCACAGCACAGCTGTAGTTCACTTTAAACAAAAAAGTTTCCTTTGTGCTATATCCTTAGAAGTAAACATAACGTACAGATAAATGAGAAGTATAGATTCTGCATCAAGCATTTTTCAATCTCGCCTTCTGATATAAACCTGGATACAGTCAAATTTGCAAAGCATTCACTTAATGTTTTAGTTGAAGCAAACTTAAAAGGTAAATGAGTTTTCAGTGAGGGACCTCTGTGAGTTGCAGTGGTGTCCTTGGCACTCAGAGGTTCATTCAGCTAAAGTCCCGATTGGTGAGGACAAGTGGAGCCACAAGGGTCCAGACGTAAAGCAGGAGACAGACCCAGCTGGTGCTGATCTTGACCCATACAGCCGGCCACTTGCTGGTCATGCTCTGAAACTTTGCATCAGGGCTAAGAAAACAAGAGAGAGTCAGGTAGAAAAGCCTGGTCTACCTGACTTCTATCAGCCTCCTGCAGCACCCCTAGCTGAGGCCAAGAAATACTCCAGTGAAACTTGGCTGGTACTACCCCTCCAGTGGGTTTGTAGAGAAGACTGGAAGAAGCTGCTATTTTCAGTGTTTATGACCAAGAACTAAAGAACTCATCGACTCTGCCTCCCAAATGACTTTTCTTCTGGCCAGCATGAAAGACCCCGACTATCAGGAGAAAGTTCTTTAGATGTTCCTAGGTATTGGCAAAAGTCTAGATTGAGATAGCCTCCCTGAAACTTTCCTTCCTTAGTACATTATTACTTGAACCAGAATGGTCTAACATGGCCATCTCTATACACAGAAAATTAGTGAACAAAGATGGGTTAGATTGCTTTATGTCATGATTTTCTCTCTCAAATTAACTCAGCTCTGTAAGAGCTCCTAGTGATTTGCAGTGCAAAGAATTCCAATGGGTTTTAACTGCTAGAGGAGATAAAGTCAAGAATATTTAACCCAAGGTAATTCATTACATGAGTAAAAGCAAGGGTTCTGAGGTCAGGACAATGGATGAGATTTTACAGGCCACAAAGGGTTTTAGTGCTCTTCAGTCAGTATTGTCTGTGCCGCCTACCTGTACCAGCCAGTCAGGGTCATCATGATGTACAAGGAAGCCAAGCAGAGCATCAAGTGGAAGAAGCAGTAGCTATACTGCACTCCCTCTTTCTCATTGTCCACAGCCCGCCGAGGCTGTCCATCTTCTTCATCATTGGCACCACTGGTAGTTGTATCACCAAGGATCACACTGTCACTCCCTGACAGGGTCAGCTTGTCTACTTGGCTATTACTGGAAGTGCGGATGCTAGAAAATGATCACAAGGAAGACAAAAGAGAAAGGGGCCATGAAGAAGAACTACTGTCACTGGCCTGTATACAAGACACTTATTGCTGAGCTGCTCCTAATTTGGAGACTGAAAGCTTTCTGAAGATCCTGCTTAAAGTTCTGAACTGTTGTCTGTCATCATAAGACTGATGGCACTGTCACCAGTTACTACTTGACGTGGTAGCTTAATTGCTTAGGAATTTCACAAAACACACCATGTTCTCAGTGTCTGTTTCCGTGACTTCACAAGTGCCGCTTCTATGATTGGAATGTACCATGTGCCAACCTCCTTCCAGCTAACTTACTCATCCTACACTTCTCTGACTTGCTGTCATGTCCTCTGGAAGGCCTTCCCTGACATCACCCCTCACTAGACTAGGTTACGAGACACTCCTCCAACTTCCCACAGCTTCTTGGCTTCCTTCTGCCACCACACTTATCACTCCTGTCTTCCCTGCTATTCAAAGAATGCCTTGCCGGGCGCGGTGGCTCAAGCCTGTAATCCCAGCACTTTGGGAGGTCGAGGCGGGTGGATCACAAGGTCAAGAGATCGAGACCATCCTGGTCAACACGGTGAAACCCCGTCTCTACTAAAAAAAAAATACAAAAAATTAGCTGGGCATGGTGATGCGTGCCTGTAATCCCAGCTACTCAGGAGGCTGAGGCAGGAGAATTGCCTGAACCCAGGAGGCGGAGGTTGCGGTGAGCCAAGATCGCGCCATTGCACTCCAGCCTGGGTAACAAGAGCGAAACTCTGTCTCAAAAAAAAAAAAAAAACAGTCAAAGTAGAACTTCCTCAGACTGACAAAATAAATAAATGAAAAACTGAGCAAGTATATCATACTTAACAGTGAAAGAAGGTTTTTAAAAACCTTTCCCCTGAGATCAGGAACAAGACAAGGATCCTACTCTCACCATTTCTTTTTTTTTGAGACAGAGTTTCACTCATTACCCAGGCTGGAGTGCAATGGCGCGATCTCAGCTCACTGCAACCTCTGCCTCCTGGGTTCAGGCAATTCTCCTGCCTCAGCCTCCCAAGTAGCTGGGATTACGGGCACGCGCCACCACACCCAGCTAATTTTTTGTATTTTTTTTAGTAGAGACGGGGTTTCACCATGTTGACCAGGATGGTCTTGATCTCCTGACCTCGTGATCCACCCGCCTCAGCCTCCCAAAGTGCTGGGATTACAGGCATAAGCCACTGCGCCTGGCACTCTCACCATTTCTATCCAACAATGTAGTAAAATTCTAGCCAGAGCAAGAAAAAGAGGTAAGATATCCAGATTAGAACAGAAGTAAAACTACCTCTATCTGTAGATGACTTTTTGTATATAGGAAATCCTATGGAATACATACACATGCAAACTATTAGAACCAATAAGTTCAGCAAAGTTGCAGGATACAAGACCAATATACAGAAATCAGAACTGGGTGTGGTGGCTCATGCCTGTAATCTCAACTACTTGAGAAGCTGAGGTGGGAGGATTGCTAGAGGACAGGAGCTCAAGATTGGCCAGTGCTGTCTCTAAAAAACAGCAAGACTGTTTCTTAAAAAATTAAAAATTAGCTGGGCATGGTGGTATGCCCAAAGTTTTAGCTACTCAGGAGGCTGAGGAGGGAAGATCATTTTAAACCAGGAGCTTGAGGCTGTAGTGAGCTATGATCATACCACTGCATTCCAGCTTGGGTGATAGAGCAAGACTTAATCTCTTAAAAAAAAAAAATCAATTATATTTCTTTCTTTTTGAGATGGGGGTCTCACTCTGTCACCCAGGTGGATTGCAATAGTGCAATCGCGGCTCACTGCAACCTCGATCTTCTGGGCTCAATTAATCCTCCCACCTCAGCCTCTCAAGTAGTTGGGACTGTAGATGTGTACCACAACACCTGGAAGAGGTCTTACTATGTTGCTCTGGCTGGGTCAAACTCCTGGACTCAAATGATCATCCGAAAGTGCTGGGATTACAGGCATAAGCCACCATGCCTGGTCATCAATCATACTTTTGTACACTAGCAATAAATAAACCAAAAGTTAAGCTAAGAAAACATACATTCATTTATAATACCATCAAAAAGAATAAAATACTTAGAATTTTATTTAGAATAAAATGCTTTAAAACAAAAGAAGTTTAAGACTTGTATACTAGACCAGGCACGATGGCTCATATCTGTAATCCCAGCACTTTGGGAGGCCAAGGTGAGAGAATCACCTGAGGTCAGGAGTTTGAGACCAACCTAGCCAACATGGTGAAACCCCATCTCTACTAAAAATACAAAAATTAGCCATGCATAGTGGTGGGTGCCTGTAATCCCAGCTACTCAGGAACCTGAGGCAGGATAATCACTTGAATCCAGAAAGTAGAGATTGCAGTGAGCTGAGATTGTGATGCTGTACTCCAGCCTAAGTGACAAAGCAAGACACTGTCTCAAAAAAACATATGTACACAGCTCTATAACTGAAGCAAGTAAAGGACTTTTCATTAAAGGGAGTAAAGTTTGTTAATTCCTCATACTGCTTTTTGAAAGCAGAATAGCTGCTTCACTTTATAATCAACCTCCATGAAAATCTCGTTCTAGGTACCTTACAACTTACCTAGAATATACAAGGCAGCAAACAAAGACAAACAGCCCAATAACATTATCTGAATCCAGTAAAGACCCACTCTTTGATGGTGGAATAGGGGTAGGGATCACAGCAGTTGAATTGCCAGGAGCCAGGGTTGGTGCAGTTATGCGTGTAATAAAGCTCATCAGGCTGGGGTTGCAGGAACGATCTGAAAATGAAAATTTTTTATTATCCTTGGTTACAACTCATCTTGTTTCAAGAAAGGATTTGAGGAGTTCCTTACACATCATTTAGCCGTGATGTGAAACATGGGAATTCTTTACTTAAAAAAATCTGAAACTTAGGCCGGGCTTGGTGGCTCAAGCCTGTAATCCCAGCACTTTGGGAGGCCGAGGCGGGTGGATCACGAGGTCAAGATATCGAGACCATCCTGGTCAACATGGTGAAACCCTGTCTCTACTAAAAATACAAAAACTAGCTGGGCATGGTGGCGCGTGCCTGTAATCCCAGCTACTCAGGAGGCTGAGGCAGGAGAATTGCCTGAACCCAGGAGGCGGAGGTTGCGGTGAGCCGAGATCGCGCCATTGCACTCCAGCCTGGGTAACAAGAGCGAAACTCCGTCTCAAAAAAAAAAAAAAAATCTGAAACTTAACAATCAGTAACATATTTCGTCACAATCAATGACTTAGAATTAGGGAAAAAAGAAAAGAAACAACAGAATCCGTCAAATTTCATAAACATCATTCTTATCGGTTTTGTAGTTTAACTGACAAATCTTTTCAATTCTATAGTGCCAAGGGTTTAAGCACAGAAGTTTATTTCTATTTTGTTTTTCACAGTTACTTAAGAACAAAAAAGTTACCATTGGGAGAGGGGCGGTCTGCATTAATTGTTTTCCTTTCAAAGAAGCCCACAGAATATTCTACTGAGAAACAAGCCTATAATAACCACAAAAGGAGACTTCCTACATCTGTTTCTTCCAGAGACTGTGACATCAAACTAAAATTCAGTCAAAACAAAGGGCCAAAACAATGGTGCCCTTGACCAGAGCTCTTAACTAGTTTGACTCAGCCTAGGTTAGGTAAAGCTTAGACCATCTAAAGGACTGTCACCCTTTAGGCTATCAGTTATAAATAGCTATGAACAGATGTGGGAACTAAAACGTAAAAGGTAAATACCTACAAATCTACAGTGAACACTGTACATTTAAGTTTTGTTTGTTTGTTTGTTTCACATTTGCTCTAACTCTAGTTTTTGTACCACCTATGAAAGGGCTAATTTCCACTTGTTATCAGCTGAATGTGCTATTGATATTTCCTTACCAGGTTCATTGGACATGGCTGACCAGGTGAGGTACATAGTGTAGAGGGTGATGATGGAGGACTGCAAGAGGCCAGAGCGAGGCTGGTGTTCCTATGGAATCAAAAGGAAAACAGTGCCACAGGGATTGCCAAGGGCTGACTTTCCAAACGCAGCACACTTCTCTGGGATTCACTCAACTATCAGTAACTGAGAACTTTTGGATTCTGCTTGGGAGTTGAAATATGACAAGCAGCCTTTCAGTTCAGTCAGCCTGCTAAAGAACCAAGACAGGCAGCCGGGCGCAGTGGCTAACGCCTGTAATACCAGCACTTTGGGAGGCTGAGGCGGGTGGATCACGAGGTCAAGAGATCGAGACCATCCTGGTCAACATGGTGAAACCCCGTCTCTACTAAAAATACAAAAAAAAATTAGCTGGGCATGGTGGCGCGTTGCCTGTAATCCCAGCTTGGGAGGCTGAGGCAGGAGAATTGCCTGAACCCAGGAGGCGGAGGTTGCGGTAAGCCGAGATGGCGCCATTGCACTCCAGCCTGGGTAACAAGAGCGAAACTCCGTCTCAAAAAAAGAAAAAAAAAAAAGAACCAAGAAAGGCGACGCAAGTACTAGTTCTCAAGGCATTTTGTAATCCTAGAAGTTCCTGCTTATCACACAGGCCTTTGATTTTCTAATCCCTTGGTGTAGTAAAAAGATCTAAGATCAGCTTTGCAACTGATCTTTGCAACTGATTAGTAGCTCGGTGAGACCTATCACTTCTTTGAGATTTCTGTTTTCTCACTTTTAAAAAAAAGGTGATTTCTATACAATTTTCATATTTCATATCTAAACTCCAAGAATTTTTTAAAATCATGGTTTGCTTCCTTTTTTGAGCCAGAGTCTTGTTCTTACTGCCCAGGCTGGAGTGCAATGGTGCTATCTCAGCTCACTGCAACCTCTGCTTTCAGGGTTCAAGCGATTCTCCTGACTCGGCCTTCCAAGTAGCTGGGATTACAGGCATGTGCCACCATGCCTGGATAATTCTGTATTTTTAGTAGAGATGGGATTTCACCATGTTGGTCAGGGTGATCTCGAACTCCTGATCTCAAGTGATTCCCCCCACCTTGGCCTCCCAAAGTGCTGGGATTATAAGTTTGAGCCACCGCACTTAGCCTAAACTACATTATTTAAAACACAAGAGCATGAGTTTTATTAAATGTTAAAAATCAATGATTTTTCACATTTAATTCCCCTAAAATATCCTAGCTAATGACTCATAAGAATCATTGCCATGGCTTGAACACTTTATAAGAACTATAAATTCTCAAGTTACCTAGGTTTTTTTTTTTAATGACAGCGAACTCATTTAACTATGATACAGGTATGAAATGGTAAACTGTATACTTAAGTTATAATTATGAGAATATAATATAGAAAATGTTCGAGTGGATAAACTTAGACATAAATTCATAAGAAAGGTTACCTAGATTTTAAGTTGAGAACTAATTAAAAACCTTTCACAGAGGAAGAAGCAGTAAACAATCATACCTGAATTTTTGGGTGGATTGATATAATAGAAACCACAACGCAAAGGATCAGGTTAATACTGATGAAGAACTTGTTTTCTGTGCAGCCATCTGGTTTGGTGTAGTACGTATAGAGGAGCCCGACACAGATGATGGACAGGATATAAAAGGCGCTTGTGAAAGACAGTAAAGCTGGAGAAAGGGAAACCAACATGAATGCCCACAACTATAATAAACTTACAGTGAAGACCAATTTTCTTCCACTCCATATAAAAATGAGGAGACATTATTTCACTTTTCTGGGGAAATTCACAGTAAAATTACAGAGACCTGAAAGTTAAAGTATCAACGTTGTATTCAATTGGCTTAATGTTAAATTCCAAAATCCACCAAGCAACTGAATTCACTTCCTGAATTACCTAATATGATTTCACAGGTTGAATTATCAGAAGTTTGATCATTCCAGCTAGATGGAACTGCTAACTATATGTTAATTACTGTTTATTGTAAGCTTTTCTTAGGAACCTAGTTGATTCCTATACTCTCAAAATGACCCAGTTCACTGCAAGCTCCACACCAGGATGGTGTTAGAGGAAATGATAGACACACAGGTATCTTTCTACGCCAGTTTTTCCTTCTGCAGCCATTGGCTTTCTAAATCCATTTCCCATCACAATGAGAGTACATCCCTGAACTGGGAAAGTGGCTCATTTGCTATTTTTCATTATCTAAAGTCATGGTCCTTTCCATTCACTAGCTGTGTTAGCTGAGCATGGTAGCTCACATCTGTAATCCCAGCACTCTGGGAGGCTGAGGTGGATGGATTGCTGGAGCCTCTGAGTTCCAGACCATCCCAGGAAACATGGTGAAACCCTATCTCTACAAAAAATGCAAAAATTAGCCAGGCCACGATAGCATGTGCCTGTAGTCTCAGCTACTTAGGAAGATGAGGCAGGCAGACTGCTTGAGCCCAGAACATAGAGGTTGCAGTGAGCCAAGATAGTGCCACTGCACTCCAGCCTGGACAACATAACAAAATCCAGTCTCAAACAATAAAACAATTAATTGTGTAGCTCTGAAAATTAGAAAAACATGAAACGGCACATATAACACACTCAGACCAACTGCAGGAATGATGAGCTCAGTTAACTTGTATTCAAGTCAAAGCCCAGATGTAAGAAAACTAGTTTCTATATACCTCAATGAATTTTGCACGTCTAAAATTAAATGATGTACATTAAGTTACTAGCACACTTCTCAATGTTTTCCCATCTGAATATACAAGATTTTTCTACACCTAGTTACTATAAAGTATGACCGATTTGCAACTCATTAAGTTCTTCTAGAGTTGTATGATCCAAATGAATTAAAGAAAGTTAAGAGCCAGGAGTGGCGGCTCACGCCTGTAATCCCAATATTTTGGGATGGCAAGGCAGGTGGATCGATTGAGTCCAGGAGTTTCAGCAACATGGAGAAACCTTGTCTTTACAGAAAAACACGAAAGTGAGGGGGAGCGCGGTGGGGTGGTAAAAAAGAAAAGAAAAAAACCACAAACATTAGCTGGGCATGCTAATGTGGGTATGATGGTGTGCACCTGTATTCCCAGCTACTTGGGAGGCTAAGGTGGAAGGATCGCTTGAGCCAGGAAGGCAGAGGGGAGCCACGATTGTGCCACTGCACTCCAGCCTGGGTGACAGAGCGAGACCCAATTTCGGAAAAAAAAAAAAAAAAAAAAAGAAAGAAAGAAATAGGTAAAAATAAAATAGTCATTACAAACAATTTAAATAACCAGCAACAGGGCAAAGGTTAAATGAATTACAGTATACTCTGCCATGGAATACCATGGAACTGTATGGAATGGAATACCATGCAGCTTACAGCAAAGTCCATGCCAGAAGCTTGAATGCAGGTTAAATGATTAAGACATACCTACACTCACTGGTCGGGAGGATATTTATTCATCATGCAGGAAGTGAAAAGAGCAAGTCATGGAACAATATACAATACAATCTTGTTTACATTTAAATACAAAAGCAAGGTGAATGCATAAACACATAAATGTCTACAAGAGTGGCTACACCTGGAAAGGAAAATGGGCTGTAGATAGGTGAAGATTTGCATGTTTTATTCTTTATAAAGTTAAAAAGTTCTATCATTTGTTTTTATGGTAAACATAGTATTTTTTTAAATATATGTAAGTATTTTTTAAAGTAAACTAAATAAATAAAATGAAAATAAAACTGGGCAACTTGATAATATGTACTGAAAGCATTTTAAAATATTCATACACTTTGACTTTTCTCTTTCTGGGAATTTGTCCAAAGGAAATAATCAGAAATGTGTCAAAGTATGTGTTATTAGGTAGGTAGTGCTCTACCATAGCCAAAACATATTCACAAGCTACTTTTAACTCAGCCTAGAAATTATAAGTGCTCCTTTCCCACCAGAAAGCTTTCCATAGCAGGTGTGGGGTCCCTTTCTGAATAAGGCCATAAGACTACTTACTCCTATCTGCCGGTGGACAGCTGCCCCATATGTTGAACCCATCTGGGTTTCCTCTCCATGGAAATAAGATTATCAAAACCAGAACTAAATCACTAAATACAACTGTTTTTCCTTATCTAAAACACATGTAATTACATTATGACTCTCAAATAAATTGGGGAAATCCAACAGTTGACATTATCTGTGCTACTGTACTTTAGTAATGCATATAATTCAGAGCCATATTCAGGAAATTACAGATATTTTTCCTTTTATTTATTTTTATTAATATTTTTAGAGACAGGGTCTCCCAGGCTGAAGTATAGTGGTGTGATAGCTTACTGCAGTCTTGAACTCCTGGGCTCCAGTGATTCTCCTGCCTTAGCCTGCCCAGCAGCTAGGACTATAGGTGTATGCCACCATGCCTGACTAATTTTTTTTTTTTTTTTTAATGTAAAGATGGAGTCTCAATATGGTGCCTAGGCTGGTCTTGAACTCCTGGATTCAAGCCATTCTCCCACCTTGGCCTTCTGTTGCTGAGGATTCTAGTTGCTGGGACTGTAACGATGATTTTTACTGTAAACCCTCCTTAATGTAGCAGTATGGCTAACTTAGGTAAGTAGAGATACCTACCGGCATACCACAACCTTGGGTTTCCTTCTTCCATTCGATTTACCCATGATTCATTCCAAGAATGAGCAAAGTCTACCAATAGCACCAGCTGAATAAGGATGAAGAAGGCGGCCCCTCCCATGCCAACAAAAAACCAGGCTACAAGAACCAAGAGAGCAAAGTTATTCTCTAACACAGAGTAACATTTCAAAAGGTCCAACATTCTGAATGGATTTCAATTAAAACAAGACAGAGGTGGTAAAGACATTCTGTCTCCAGCAGTATAGCAAGATTCCAAACTCAAAGGCATTCTCTTAAAAGCATTCTACTGGGTTTCAGACCTTTTACAACATGTTTTACCTTGTGCTAAGGGGAGTCTACAACCTGAGTTCCAAATGATACTGTTAAGTCTTTTCTTTTTGAGGTGGGAAAATCACAGTAGAAATCTAAAGATGTCACCTGATGCCAAGCTAAGGAAGTAGGTTAATACAGACATAGGAGAGCACAAGAGTCGTAAGAGCACAAAAGTCTTATTTTGATAGGCTCTCCAATTAGCTTTGCATTGCAAGAAGTGAGAACACAAACAATTAAGATATTGGCAAAAGAGTAACATATGGGTCCAGAAAACCTGAGAGGTGCAATGAATGCCTCCTGACTTTAAATCCACATACTGAGTTGCGGCAGGGTATGATGGCTCACACCTGTAATCCCAGCACTTTGGGAGGCCAAGGCAGGTGGATCATGAGGTCAGGAGTTCAAGACCAGCCTGGCCAAGATGGTGAAACCCGTCTCTACTAAAAATACAAAAATTAGCCAGGCATAGTGGCAGATGCCTGTAATCCCAGCTACTCGAGAGGCTGACGCAGAGAATTGCTTGAACCAGGGAGGCGGAGTTTGCAGTGAGCCAAGATCATGCCAGTGTGCTCCAGCCTGTGTGACAGAGCAAGACTCCATCTAAAAATAAATATACATACATACATATATATATATATATATAGAGAGAGAGAGAGAGAGAGAGAGTTGCAAGTACCAAGTCATATTAATTGGACACTATCTCATTTAATTGCCAGTTCTGCAAAAACGTAATTAAAATGTGACTTTGGTTTTTTTTGAAACAAAATCTGATCTGTCACCTTGGCTGGAGCTCATTGGCATGATCTTGGCTCACTGCAACCTCTGCCTTTTGGGTTCAAGCAATTCTGCTGCCTCAGTCTCCTGATTACCTGGAATTATGGGTGTGCAACACCATGCCTGGCTAATTTTGTATTTTTAGTAGAGACGGGGTTTAACCACATTGGCCAGGATGGTCTCAAACTCCTGACCTCAGGTGATCCACCCACCTTGGCCTCCCAAAATGCTGAGATTACAGGCGTTGAGTCAGTGCATCTGGCCTAAAACGTAGCTTTAACTCAATCATCTATAGAATTTATATAGCTTAAAATTAACCCCTCCATGGTGAACCCTACCTGAGCTGAAATAGCCCCCAGGGATGTAGAAAGAGCCAACCATGATTCCAATAAGGGCAGCAATTTTGAAGAACCAAAACCTATTAAAATATAAAAATGCATTTATGAAATGTTAAGTTTCACCTTTATACTGAGAAAAATTCATTTCTGAAATGTGAAAATAATAGCTTTTTCCCCAACATGATTGTCTGGACTATTTTCTTCATTTGACATGAGGCTAATTCATTTAATATTTCATACAATTAAAGGACAATATTAGCACAGAGAATAAATCATTCATATTTATAATCAGAAAAAAAACTAAAAATTTTCAGCCTCCCTACTTTCGGCACTTAAAGGTAGGCATTTTTCTAACATTCTGGGAGTTCTAAAATAATAGTGTTAGCTACCCACAGAGCCATTAATTGTAAGGTATGGATGAAAAGTGATCACGAACCTTTTGCTTGCAACACAGGGCACAGATTATCTTGTCCACAATGACACAGCTCATCACTGGTACCTGATTTTCAGTTCATGCTCTTTAATAACTGCCTCGTATGACAGAGTGGAAAGAACCAAGCTGTAGGGCTGAACAGACCTAAGCTTCGATCCTAGCTCCAACTTCCAAATGATTAACAGATCTCAGGCAATTTATTTAACCTTTCTGAAATTCAGTTACGGCATGTGTAAAAAGGGAATTGTGATATGCACTAAGTTTATAAAACTCCATTCACTCTTTAATTGACAATTAAAATTTGGGCCGGGCGTGGTAGCTTACGCCTATAATCCCAGCACTATGGGAGGCTGAGGTGAACGGATCACCTGAGGTCAGGAGTTTGAAACCAGCCTGACCAACATGGAGAAGCCCAGTCTCTACTAAAAATACAAAAATTAGCCAGGTGTGGTGGCATATGCTTGTAATCCCAGCAACTCAGGAGGCTGAGGCAGGAGAATCACTTGAACCCAGGAGGCCGAGGTTGCAGTGGGCCAAGATCTCGCCATTGTACTCCAGCCTGGGCAACTAGAGTGAAACTCAGTCACAAAAAGAAAATAAAAAGACAAGACTCCCTATGCCCTCCATGTTACAGGGATCTAATAGAAAATGACATTTAAAAAATTTCACATGTGTAACAGACCAGAAATACATCTGGGCCATTCATTTACATATTCCATTGATTCCATCAGAATGGCAACATTAACTGCTGACGGGAAGGAAGAGCCACATCATAATATAACAAGTTAATCATAAATCTAACATACCCATTGTGTACTGCTGCTCGGGGATCTTTACTTGTTTTTACTTTTATCATAAGCAGAGAAAAGACAAGAAAAAAGATGGCCATGGCAAAGTTGATCCGATACACAGCTTTATAACCAACCAGCACATCACAGTCTTTATCTGCATTTCTATCAGCCTCATGGATTTTAAATCCCCCTTCACAAAATCCAGGAATCTGGAAAAAAGCAATTTCAATTCTATGAGAATACATCTAGAGAGATTCTACCCCACCACAGGAAAGACTGGATTTAGAAAATTAACTACTCAACAACTACAAGACCGACTATGGAATTTTTCTCTTTGCTTTCCAATTCATTTACAATCTTGTTACCAAAGAAACTACATTTTAAAAATAAAAATGCAGCCGGGTGCGGTGGCTCAAGCCTGTAATCCCAGCACTTTGGGAAGCCGAGGCGGGTGGATCACGAGGTCGAGAGATCGAGACCATCCTGGTCAACCTGGTGAAACCCCGTCTCTACTAAAAATACAAAAAATTAGCTGGGCATGGTGGTGCGTGCCTGTAATCCCAGCTACTCAGGAGGCTGAGGCAGGAGAATTGCCTGAACCCAGGAGGCAGAGGTTGCGGTGAGCCGAGATCGCGCCATTGCACTCCAGCCTGGGTAACAAGAGCGAAACTCCGTCTCAAAAAAAAATAATAATAAAATAAACATGCTCTCTCTTTTTTGCTCTTTTATGCTGAAGAGGCTGTCTGCCATTTTCCCATGAGATTTTCCAGCCATGAGTGACTCCTTCCAAAGGTGAAGAACTAGTCCAGTTTAGATGCTTCGATCTTAACACATAAGGAAAGAAAATGTTTTGGAGCCACTCTTTTAATGTTTTCTCTTAGTTGTTAGACTAGAGCCTAAAGATGTTCATTGCGTATTTCTGGAAAAGGACTAATGTCCTCATATTTCTGTGTTTTGACCACACCCCCATATAAGTAAAAAGCCTCCAAATTACAATAAACATGATTAACAGTGAAGAAATAAAAAAAAAAAAAAACCTAGCATTTTGCAAAATATAAAAATAAAATAATCAACACATTAAGTGCATTGTTGCTTCTTACCTTCTTCAGGTAAGGTTCCATCTCTCTTCTCTGCATGATATAGGATACGGCAGTGCTCAGGATGAGAATGAAAGCATAAATGAGGCGAGTCACCGTGGAATTCTTACTGTTAGGACAGCAACTGCACAGCAAACATGAGGCACCGCTGCAGAGGCATGGAACCTGAAATGAGCACACCATGGTCACCTGAGACCTCCTTTAGTAGACCCCTTTATGACACAGATGTTACAGAAGAGAAGACAAGACAAATCAGACTTTACAGTTTTAACTGAGAGAATCATGGCTGGGAGGAAGTGGTTAAAAGTATGGGCTCTGAAGTAAGTATTATTTCTGCCACTTTGTACCCCAGCAAGTTACGTACTCTTAATCCCATTTCACCAGCTATAAAATGAACTCAATAATAGAATTTTCCTCCCTCAGCCTTTGCTGTTATTAAATGAACACTCAACACTGTCTAAAACATATTAACAGCTCAATAAATGTTGATTACATTCTGAGAGCATCATCTGTTTTAAAATATGAGAAGAATACAAACAAACTGAACTCCACTTGCTATTTACAGAGAATCCAAGTTACCAAAGCTGATATTACAACATAAAGCAACATTACATGGAAACCCTCTGATAAATAATAACAGCAAGAGCCATTTAGCTCAATTCAAGAGGAACCAGGTTCCTCATAAAGTTAAACATAGAATTACAGTACGACCCAGCAAGTACATACCTGACCCCAATAGCTATCTCGTTTGAAACAGCTGTTCAAACCAAAGCTTGTACATGAATGGTCACAGCAGCACTGTTTACAATCATCAACATGTGAAAACCTATTGTCCATTAATTGATAAGTAAATATGGTCTAAGTAAAATATGGTATATCTGGCCAGGTGCAGTGGCTCACACCTGTAATCCCAGCACTTTGGGAGGCTGAGGCAGGCAGATCACCTGAGGTCAGAAGCTCGAGACAAGCCTGGCCAACATGATGAAACCACACCTCTACTAAAAATACAAAAATTAGCCGGGCGTGGTGGCTCATGCCTATAGTCCCAGCTACTCAGGAGGCTGAGGCAGGCGAATCACTTGAACCCAGGAGACAGAGGTTGCAGTGAGCTGAGAGCATGCCACTGCACTCCAGCCTGGGCAACAGAAGGAGACCTGGTTTCAAAAAAGAAAAAAAACCGGTATATTTATACTGTGTTAACCTAACCTGTGTTAGCCTAACTGACTCCATTTTAGCTGAGAGCCGGACAGGCTCCATCTTGGTCTCCCCCTTCCCACTATACCCCTCCCCTGCGTGCATAGCTAGGTCAAAAGTACTCAAGGGCACTCAAGAATGCACTTACTGATAAGGTCAAGCTGTGCCATCCTCACTTAGGAATGTGCCTACTGATAATATGAAAAGCCCCCTACATCTGCAACCACTATCTTTTAACTTTTGCTTGTTCTGCTTGTAAAATTTGCTTCAGCTAGGCTCCTCCTCCCCTCTTTTAGGCAAGGTATAAAAAGGAATCAAGCAGTGGGAAGGAGGCAGGAAAAAATAAAAAAAGGAATCAAGCCCCTTCAGCAGAGAATTTTGAGCATTAGCCATCTCTCAGTTGCCGGCAATAAAGGACTCCTGATTCAATCTCAGAGTGTGGCACTTTCTCTACAACTTGCTGGGTTACAACAATACAATGGCTTATTTAGACATAATCGATAGATACATGACAGAACACAGGTGAACCCTGAAAACATCATGCTAAGGAATTCCTGAGTTCAAGCAATCCACCCACCTCAGCCTCCCAAAGTGCTGGGATTACAGGTATGAGATATACCTGGCCCACTACACACTTTTAAATGGTTAACTTTGGCTGGTCCGAAGGTAGGGAGTTATCTCAATTGATTGTTCACAGTCAGTTACAGATCGAACTCCTTGTTCTACTCTTTCCTCCCTTCTCACTACTGCACTTGACTAGTCTTTAAAAAAAAAAAAATGGTTAACTTCGTGTTATGTAAACTTTACCTTTTTTTTTTAAAGAGTAACCTAGATCTTTAGTCTGCTAACATTTGTTAATGACCACACTACATGAGAGAAGATATAATTTTCTTTCCATTTTCTTTCTTTTTTTTTTTGAGACAGGGTCTCACTCTATCATCCAGGCTGGAGAGCAATGATGCCATCTCAACTCACTGCAACTGCAACCTCCTGGGCTCAAGCAATTCTCCTGCCTCAGTCTCCTAAGTAGCTGGGATTAAAGGGATTACAGGCATGTGCCACCATCCTCAGCTAATTTTTGTGTGGAGACTGGTTTCACTACGTTGGCCAGGCTGGTCTCGAACTCCTGACCTCTAGTGATCCACCCGCCTTGGCCACCCAAAGTGCTGGAATTACAGGCATGAGCTGCTGTGCCTGCCTTTTTTTTTTTTTTTTTTAAAGAGACAGGTGTCACTCTGTTGACCAAGCTGGAGTACAGCTGTGTGCTAATAGCTCACTGCAGCCTCGAACTCCTGGGCTCAAGCGATCCTCTGGCCTGAGTACAAGTCTCCTGAGTACAAGCAAGCGCCACCATGCCTAGCTAAGTAAGAGAGGATATAATTTGAGACATTATGCTTGATTATCAAACTGCCTGAACTGCACTTAATAATGTGACATTATCAAATCACATTACAAGGACAGGCTAATTCAGAATTAGCAGATGTAAATGACAAATAACTCTGGTCTTACAATATGGTCCCAGGAATAATCATTTTTTATAGATGGTACCTTGTGTGGACTTTACGATAATTTTGTGTGGTTTGCAGCAAGGTGCTAACATTCCAAAAAAGCTCAGTTTTCTAATCTGTAAAAATGAGCATAATACCACCTACTCGAACAGGGTTATTGAGTAAAGAATGAGATAATGTCAGGAATACAAAGCAGCTAGTATAATGCCTGACACATATATCAGGCTCAATATATCATGGCAGCCGTTATTATTTATAACTGCAACACCAATGGGAAATTGATCAGCCAGTCTCAGTCTCCAATTCTTAACTACAATACAGGCCAAACGCTGCAGAGGCATGTCCTCCACAAATTCTTACGTTGAAGTCCTAATCCCCAGTACCCTAGAATGTGACCTTACCTGGTCACTGTAGAGGTAGTAAGATGAGATTACACTGGAGTAGAGTGAGCAGCTAATCCAATATGACTAGTGTCCTTATAAAAAGCAGAAACTTGGACATAGGCTTACAACACAGGGAGAATGCCATATGCCATGTGAAGGCAGAGATCTATGAGCCAAGGAATGTCAGAGACTGCCAGCAAACCATGAAAAAAAAAGCTAGGGGAGAGGCATGATACAGATTCTTTCTCACCACTCTTAGAAGAAACCAACCCTGCTGACACCTTCATCCTAGACTTCCGGCCCAAGAAATCACTGGGTTTAAGCCACAGGCTCTGCGGTACTTTGTTATGCAGCCCTGGCAAATTAATAAACTTGCCCTGTCTCTAAAAAAGACTGCAACTATCTCGAAGGGGAGACTACTTTTACAATGTATATCTTTTGCACCTTTACAGAACAGGTACTCAGTAAACACCTGTGCAACAAATCTGTCCTACTATATGTTATGTCATTTTCCTATTTCAGTGAATAACAACTCTCTTCATCCTGTTGCTTGGGCCCAAAACCTGGAGTAATCCCGGAGGCTTTCCCTTTTCCCAAAATCCTCATCCAATCTGCCAGTGTATCAGCTCTATCCTTAAAATACATGCAGAATCTGACTATCTTCACAGTATCCTTAGCTATTGCCTTTTGTCCAAACTACTCATCTGGATTAAGTGTGATAGCTCCCATCTCACTGCTGTAGGGAACCCATTCAGAAGCTCTGAGTTGGCCAGGCACAGTGGCTCACGTCTGTAATCCCAGCATCTTGGGAGGCCAAGGCAGGTGGATCATCTGAGGTCAAGAGTTCGAGACCAGCCAGGCCAACACAGTGAAATCCCATCTCTACTATAAACACAAAATATTAGCCAGACATGGTGGTACATTCCTGTAATCCCAGCTACTAGAGAGGCTGAGGCAGAAGAATTGCTTGAACCTGGGAGGCGGAGGTTTCAGTGAGCCAAGATAGCACCACTGCACTCCAATCTGGGCAACAGAGCGAGACTCAGTCTCAAAAAAAAAAAAAAAAAAAAAAAAAAAAGGCTAAGTGTGATGGCTTATGCCTGTAATCCCAGCACTTTGGGAGACCCAGGTGGGTGGATCATAAGGTAAGGAGTTTGAGACCAGCCTGGCCAATATAGTGAAACCCCATCTCTACTAAAAACACAAAAATTAGCCAGGCAAAGTGGCGGGCGCCTATAATCCCAGCTACTCTGGAGGCTAAAGCAGGAGAATCACTTGAACCTGGGAGGTGGAGGCTGCAGTGAGCCAAGATCATGCCAGAACACTCCAGCCTGGACAACAGAGCAAGACTCTGTTAAAAAAAAAAAATTAAAAAGCAGCTCTGAGTTGTCATAAAGATTATTTTAAGCTGAAGGTATCTGACATTCAATAGATGCAGTTAAAAAAAAGTCTTCTCGGAACTTCCCTTATCTAACTAAAAGCAGCAACTTCTGGGAAATGAGGCTGCCATAAATTCCCTCTCCAGGGAAGTTTTTTTTTTTTTGAGATGTAGTTTCGCTTTTGTTACCCAGGCTGGAATGCAATGGCGCGATCTCGGCTCACTGCAACCTCTGCCTCCTGGCTTCAAGCAATTCTCCTGCCTCAGCCTCCTGAGTAGCTGGGATTACAGGCACGTGCCACCATGCCCAGCTAATTTTTTTTGTATTTTTAGTAGAGACGGGGTTTCACCATGTTGACCAGGATGGTCTCTATCTCTTGACCTCGTGATCTACCCGCCTCAGCCTCCCAAAGTGCTGGGATTACAGGCTTGAGCCACCGCGCCCGGCTCTCCAAGAAAGTTTTAAGGCCATAGAGAAGCTGGAAAGACTTCTCATACCTGTGTAAACAAGTACCATCGTAAACTTTCTTATTTCCTATTGATTTTCCTAAAAACAAACTTGTCTTTCCTAAAGAAACCTATTTGTTCTTCTCATACCTTCCTTTCTACCAGCTTCCTTTTCCCTACTAAATTAGAAAGCCTTGGCCGGGCATGGTAGCTCACACCTATAATCCCAGAACTCTGGGAAGCTGGGGCGGGTGGATCACCTGAGGTCGGGCGTTCAAGACCAACCTGACCAACGTGGAGAAACCTTGTCTCTACTAAAAATACAAAATTAGCCAGGCATGGTGGTGCATGCCTGTAATCCCAGCTACTCAAGAGGATCCCTTGAACCTGGGAGGCAGACATTGCGGTGAGCCAAGATCGTGTCATTGCACTCCAGCCTGGGCAACCGAAACTTGGTCTTAAAAAGAAGAAAAAAAAGAAATCTTCAAGTTCTAACAACCCCCTTTGAGTTACTATTACTGAGCACTCCTGTGTGTACATGTCTTGCATGCATAAACAAACTCTTATTTCTCTAAATCAGGAGTCCCCAAACTTTTTACACAGGGGGCCAGCTCACTGTCCCTCAGACCATTGGAGGGCCGCCACATACTGTGCTCCTCTCACTGACCACCAATGAAAGAGATGCCCCTTCCTGAAATGCAGTGGGGGGCCAGATAAATGGCCTCAGGGGGCCGCATGCGGCCCACAGGCCATAGTTTGGGGACGCCTGCTCTAAATAATCTGTTTTATCAATTTAATTCACAAGCCCCCTGAAGAAGAACCCAAAAGGCTGGTGGAAGATTTTTCCATCCCTATACTGCTTTACCCTTACTTTTCTACCATCTATTCTCCAAACAGCAACTAGAATCCACCTTGTTAAAACACAGGCCCAGATCACATCACTCCTTTTTTCAGACTCTGTAATGGATTCCTATATAACTTAAGAGTAAAAGCCAAAGTCCTTAAAAACCTACAAGACCATATAATGGGTATAAACATGATTTTGCTCTCTACCTTTCTGATTTCACTTTCTACTACTCTTTCCCTCACTCATTCTATTCTCTGGTATATAGACTTCTTAACGTTTCTTTTGAATAAAAGGGATTAATAAAATATAAAAGTACCATATAGATAGAAATGCTTGGATGGCATCAATTCAAATCTTAGCTTTCCATCAAAGCCAAAATGCATTTCCAGTTATCATGATAGAAAAAAAAGTTTGTTTCAAATTAACAATTCACTCCTGGCCAGGCGCGGTGGCTCACGCCTGTTATCCCAGCACTTTGGGAGGCCGAGGCGGGTGGATCATGAGGTTAAGAGATTGAGACCATCCTGGTCAACATGGTGAAACCCCGTCTCTACTAAAAATACAAAAAATTAGCTGGGCATGGTGGCGCGTGCCTGTAATCCCAGCTACTCGGGAGGCTGAGGCAGGAGAATCACCTGAACTCAAGAGGCAGAGGTTGCAGTGAGCCGAGATCATGCCATTGCACTCCAGCCTGGGTAATGAGCAAAAACTCCGTCTCAAAAAAACAAAAACAAACAAACAAAAAAATTCACTCCTTATCTAATGACCTTAACTACATTTTTAAAGAATGTGTGTTATAAATAGTAATTTTGAACCACTAGTGGATTGTAAAAATCAACTCACTAGTATTTTTTGAGACAGAGTCTCCCTCTGTCACCAGGCTGGAGTGCAGTGGAGCGATTTCAGCTCACTGTAACCTCCTTCTTCAGGGTTCAAGCGATTCTCCTACCTCAGCCTCCCAAGTAGCTGGGACTAGAAGTATGAGCCACCATGCTCAGCTAATTTTTGTATTTTTAGTAGAGACTGGGTTTCACCATGTTGGCCAGGATGGTCTCGATCTCTTGACCTTGTGATCCCCCCGCCTCAGCTTCCCAAAGTGCTGGAATTGCACGCATGAGCCACCACATCTTCAACTGACCAGGATTTTCTCATGTGATAGAAGATAAAAGAAAAATCGTATAGTAGATGGTAAAGGATTATTTCATAAAATTTTGTCTCTATATGGGTGCATCAGATCAACTATGCAAAATCTTTCTTTAGGTCAAGGTCAGAAAAATTAGAAAAACACTGCTCTCAACGAAGTCCTTAATAATGGAACACTCTTCTGATTTAGGATCAACAATCTTAAAATACATTGTTTCTAAGAAATGGTGGAAGTCAGGCATGGTGTCACACACCTGTAGTCCCAGCTACTGGGGAGGCTGAGGCTGGAAGATCACATGAATCCAGGAGTTCAAGTCTGCAGTGAGCTATGCTTGAGTCGCTGCATTCCAGCCTGGGTGACAGAGCAAAACTGTCCCCCTCCAATTAAAAAAAAGCTCCTAGAATGAGCTGAAATAGAATCCCTGGTGTAACACAGTGAAATATATGTATATTTGGTGCCCATTTCCTGGCATACAATTCCTAAAATCCTTGGAATAACCAATGTCTTTCTGTATGCTAATGAGATGAGTGGTGACTGGCAGTCCCTGGGGGCTGGTCATTGGAGGAGGTTGGGACTTTTCAGTCTCACCCCTGAACTTCCAAGGAGGAGGAGCTGAAGGTTACGCCAGTCACCAAAAACCAGTAATTTAATCAATGCTGACTACATAATGAAGCCTGCATAAAAGCCCAAAAGGACAAAATTCAGAAAAATTTTTGGCTGGGAGTGGTGGCTCACGCCCCAGAAGTTCGAGACCAGCCTGGCCAACATGGTGAAATCCCATCTCTACTAAAAGACAAAAATTAGCTAGGCATGGTGGCATACACCTACAATACTAGCTACTCCGGAGGCTGAGGCACAAGAATCGCTTCAAACCAGGAGGCGGAGGTTGCAATGAGCCGAGATGGTGCCACGGCACCCCAGCCTGGGTGACAGACTGAGCCTATCTCAAAAAATAAAAATAAAATAAAAAGAAAAAAAGAGGTTTTTGGACAGCTGAACACATGGTTTCTGGAGGGTGAAACCTCAGACAACCCAGAGAGTGCATGAAAGCTCCAGACCCCTTTCCCTATACCTTGTCTTACATATCACTTCATCTGTATCTTTAAAAATACATTAATAGTAGCCATAAAAAGGAAGAAAATCTTGTCCTTTGCAGCAACAAAGATCAGGTGGAGGCCACTATCCCAAATGAATTAATGCAGAAACAGAAAACCAAATACAGCATATTCTCGCTTACAAGTGGGAGCTAAATACTGGGAACACACAGCCACAAAGATGACAACAAAAAACACTGCAGATTCCAAGAGCCGAGGAGGAGGAGGGGCAGGGGTTGAAAACTACCTATTGGATACTATGTTCACTGCTCGGGCAACGGAATCATTAGAAGCCCAAACCTCAAGATAAAGCAATATACCCATGTAACAAAAGTGCCTATATACCCTCTGAATCTAGAATTAAAAATACGTAAATACACACAACAAATTTTTTTTTTTTTTTTTTTTTTTTTTTTTTTTTTTGAGACGGAGTTTTGCTCTTGTTACCCAGGCTGGAGTGCAATGGCGCGATCTCGGCTCACCGCAACCTCCGCCTCCCGGGTTCAGGCAATTCTCCTGCCTCAGCCTCCTGAGTAGCTGGGATTACAGGCACGTGCCACCATGCCCAGCTAATTTTTTGTATTTTTAGTAGAAACGGGGCTTCACTATGTTGACCAGGATGGTCTCAATCTCTTGACCTCGTGATCCACCCGCCTCAGCCTCCCAAAGTGCTGGGATTACAGGCTTGAGCCACCGCACCAGGCCACTTTTTTTTTTTTTTTTTTGACACGGAGTCTTGCTCTGTCGCCCAGACTGGAGGGCAGTGGAGAAATCTCAGCTCACTGCAACCTCCGCCTCCCGGGTTCAAGTGATTCTCCTGCCTCAGCCTCTCAAGTAGCTGCGACTACAGGTGCCCGCCACCATGCCCAGCTAATAATAAAATACTTTTATAATAAACCCCAGCAAACATGTTTCCTTGAGTTTTATGACCAAATTAATCAAAGCCAAGGAGAGGGGTCATGGGAACTCTGATTTATAGGTGGCTGGCTGGTCAGAAGCACAGGTAAAACCACCTGAGGCTTGCCATTGGTCTTGTGAGACTGAGCCCACAACTTGTGGGATTTGATGCTATCTCCAAGCAGAGAGCTTCAGAATTGACTTGCAGGGCACCAAGCTGGCATCCCCTGATTGTTTGCCTGATGTTTGGGGGCGAATCCCCCCACACCACACATCTGGTGTCAAAAGTGTGCTATGAGTACAGTAGGAGAAACTAAGTGTGTTTTTTCTACACACCTGGTCAACTACATCTGCTGGGAATGAGGAATCAAAGAATCAAATTCCTTTAAGTGGGTACATGAAGTAACTCAAGCATATTCTTTTACGGGCCCTAAAATTTTATCTTTAAAATGTTTACAGTTTACGAAGTGACGAAACCCGTTTACTCACTTCACTGTCATAACCATTCTCGAAGAGAGAAATGCTGGGGTGATTATCCTCGGATAAATGACTATAGCAGAACCCAAATATTCAGGCACTGGTTTCTAATTTCGAATAACAATCTACGAGGCCTTCTTTCCCTTGCACCCAGAACTGCAGACAAGCCTCCGCTAAAATCCGAGTTTCATACTCCGTAGTTTTGGCAAATCCCGTGCTAGGGGATAAAAATATTACTTGAGCCACCCAGAACTAAATGATGCCACCTTAAGAGGTGCCTCGGGAGGAAGCGGAGCCCCAGCGCTGAGAGCTCTCATTCCTTGGTCCTACTCCAGTTTCAGAGGAACCTACATTCAGGAAGCCCCGCAGGGCGGGGCCATCCGAATTGTAAACAATGGCGGCCTAGTCTCCTCTGTTCCCCAACGAACTCGGAAGGCGAGTCGCCTGATCCTGACCTGAGGGTATCGCGGACAAGGGCCTAGGGCCCGGGAGACCCTCTGTAGCCCGGGGCCTCCTGACATCCCGTGGGCCTCCGGAGCCACGGCCCGCGCAGTGCTGGGCTTGAGGTCTTTCCCCGCAAACCGCAGGTCGGGTGAGGACTCGGAACCCCGAACTCACCCAGCTGGCGAGGGAGAAGACACCCAGCACAGCCCCCATGGTGACGCCAGTGATGGAGGTGGCCGGTCCTGGGGCTGCCTTCGGATGCGGTGGTTAGTGCCAGCTGAGACGTCTCCCCAGAAACGCGACAGTTTCTCAGACCGGAAACGCGGCCCTCCACTGACGCACTGATGCATCACGACGTGGCCCCGCCCACCGTCGCGAGCGGAGCGGCCGAGAGGAAGCTTGTCATTGGTTGAAGGGGAAGGCGGGGCTAAGCCACTCTGGGGTTGCAGGAATGGTGAAGGTATCGTTTCTTACATCATTTGTATTCGTTGATCACCCCTTACGAGCAAAGATCTGCAGGCTACAGAAATGTACAGAGAGCCACAGTATCTAAGCTCAGAATTTATCGTCTGGTTAAGAGGAGATTTCACAACATAAATGCACCATGCCCTAATGCAGGCGTCCCTAAACTATGGCCCGCGGGCTGCATGTGGCCCCCTGAGGCCATTTATCCGGCCCCCCGCCGCACTTCAGGAAGGGGCACCTCTTTCATTGGTGGTCAGTGAGAGGAGCACAGTATGTGGCGGCCCTCCAACGGTCTGAGGGACAGTGAACTGGCCCCCTGTGTAAAAAGTTTGGGGACGCCTGCCCTAATGTAATGAGTACTACGAAGGAGTATGGGGAGATACTCTTTCAATAAAGGTATATTTAGTGCCTGTTATTGTAAGGGGAAAGTAATTTAATTGGTCCGTAGTCTTGGAAGCCTCTTCTAAAGGATTTTTTTTTTTTTTATAAATCTGCGAACTAAAGGATAAGTCCAAGTTAACCAAGAGACGACAGGGATCGTTTCCTGAAAGGTGGGATGTACCCCATTTGGGAGAAATGTACGAATCTAAGGGTGCATGAACAGGACATTATGTGATTTGAAAAAGCAGAGTGAGAAGGCCGGGCGCGGTGGCTCAAGCCTGTAATCCCAGCACTTTGGGAGGCCGAGGCGGGTGGATCACGAGGTCGAGAAATCGAGACCATCCTGGTCAACATGGTGAAACCCCGTCTCTACTAAAAATACAAAAAATTAGGTGGGCATGGTGGCGCGTGCCTGTAATCCCAGCTACTCAGGAGGCTGAGGCAGGAGAATTGCCTGAACCCAGGAGGCGGAGGTTGCGGTGAGCCGAGATCGCGCCTTTGCACTCCAGCCTGGGTAAGGAGAGCAACAACTCCGTCTCAAAAAAAAAAAAAAAAAAAAAAAAAAGCAGAGTGAGAACGTCCCATTTCAAAACAGGGTAGATGTTTGAGGCCAGTATGGTGTTTAACATCTTTCTAACGTTTATCTCCCTTTTTAACAGAGTAAAGCCTTCATTTTCTAAATCTCTCCAACAGGCAACCATGCCTGCAGCTTTAAAACATTGTTTTTTTTTGAAGTGCGTGTTTGCAGTAACCTTTCCATTTCTACCAAGCAACGCTGATTTCCCGTTTAAACGGTGATGTAAATATTCCTTTCGAAATACATATAAAATTTGAGAGTTCACTTTAAGAAGAAAATGAAAACATTATTTACTTACATATATAATAGTAGGTGGAATGTGGCAAACGATGATGTCTGGACAATGAGGTGTCACACTTCAATATTTTCTCCTGTGGTGTGTTAATCTTCTCTGACTGATAAAACTCTCTGAAAGGGGATTCATAATTGAATTTCTTCTGAATTATCAGCCTTTAGTCTGATAAGGGAAATTCATGAAAAGCCCATCTGGGCTGGGAGAGTTGGCTCACGCCTGTAATCCCAGCATTTTGGGAGGCCTAGAAGGGCAGATCATCAGGTCAGGAATAGACCAGCCTGGCCAACATAGTGAAACCCCGTCTCTACTACAAATACAAAAATTAGCCAGGCATGGTGGTGCGCACTTGTAGTCTCAGCTACTTGGGAGGCTAGGCAGGAGAATCGCTTGAACCTGGGAGGCAGAGGTTGTGGTGAGCCAAAATCATGCCACTGCACTCCCGCCTGGGCAACAGAGCGAGACTGTCTCAAAAAGGAAAAGCCCCTCTGTGTATGTGCTGTTCCCCAAGCAATCATCATACCAATGTGGTATATTTGGGGATGTTATTTCCTGGATTACTTGAAAATGTATTCCAAATTCATCTTTTACAGAAATGGAATGAAGCTCAAAGGCCATGAAAAGGGTTGATGAAAGAAGAAAGAGAACTACTCACATTTAATAATTCCTATCTCTCTTTTCCCAGATCCCTCTCATCATGACACATACACAAATACCGGTACAAGTCAGGTTGCTTCAGGACCACTGAATTTCCAGGCAGCCCTTAACAGTCTTGCTTCTTTCTGTCTGGGTATTGCTGGTCTGGACTTAAGACAGCTAAGACTGTGATAAATTTCATAGATAAAATTCTACGCGAAACATACCTGTACTCAAAAAGAATTAGTTTTACTTAGCTTGTTCAGAAAGGGAGAACACATACCAGAGAAAACATTAGGTGTCTTGGTAAGAGGTAACTGGAGAGGACTTATTTTAGGATTTGGGTTTATGCTGGGAGAGTTCAAGGAGGTGAGGAACAGTTTTGGATTAGACACAGTCAAGAAGTAGAGGTGAGTGGGAGGGGTGGGAAAAAAAAGAAGTAGAGGCAGTTCAGTGATTAGGTATCTTAAAGATTTTTATCCAGGAGGTAGAAGGATTAAAACAAGGCTAGCTTTGTCCTTGGAAAAGAAGAAGAACCCACTCATATTAGTCAGAAGTCCTATTTGTGATACCAGAGTGGCCTTGTCTGTATCTTGTTCCAACTACATGGTGGTCTTGTCTGATCCTTGTTTATATTCTGTGATCACTATTTATGTTCAGTTAGGAACATTAGGTCTAGCTGTCGGCTGAACAGTTCTTACCTGCAAGCATTTGCCCTCCCAAATGTAGGATCCCACCCATCTCTTCCTGTTTCTGGCCCTAACTGGTTGAGTGTGTCACCTCTACTTGGCCAAAGGGAGGAGAGCAGATCTTTGAGATCATTTACTTCAATTTCCCACCTCACGCAGGAGCCCCTCAGCAACATCTCTTCTAGGGTAGGGCACTTGCAGCCACCCAAGGCAGCTCCTCCCATCTTTACATGTCCCTTGTCAAACCTAGGTTATTTTATTCTTATTATTATTACGCATTTATTTATTTATTTTTGGAGACAAAATTTCATTCTTGTTGCCCAGACTGGTGCAATGGTGCAATCTCAGCTTACTGCAACCTCCACCTCCCAGGTTTAAGCAAGTCCCCTGCCTCAGTTTCCCTAGTAGCTGGGATTACAGGCATGTGCCGCCACGCCCGGCTAATTTTGTGTTTTTTTTTTGTTTGTTTGTTTTTTTTGAGACAGAGTTTTGCTCTTGTTACCCAGGCTGGAGTGCAATGGCGCGATCTCAGCTCACCGCAACCTCTGCCTCCTGGGTTCAGGCAATCCTCCTGCCTCTGCCTCCCGAGTAGCTGGGACTACAGGTGTGCGCCACCATGCCCAGCTAATTTTTGTATTTTTAGTAGAGACTGGGTTTCACCATGTTGACCAGGATGGTCTCGATCTCTTGACCTCATGATCCACCCGCCTTGGCCTCCCAAAGTGCTGGTATTACAGGCGTAAGCCACCGCGCCCAGCCTAATTTTGTATTTTTTTAGTACACGCTCATGCCTGTAATCCCAGCACTTTGGGAGGCTGAGGTGGGCAGATCACCTGAGGTCAGGAGTTCAAGACCAGCCTGGCCACCATGGTAAAACCTCATCTCTACTAAAAATACAAAAAAAAAAAAAAATTAGCTGGGCATGGTGGTGGACACCTGTAATCCAAGCTACTCAGGAAGCTGAAGCAGGAGAATCACTAAACACGGGAGGCAGAGGTTGCAGTGAGCCAAGATGGCACTATTGCACTCCAGCCTGGGTGACAGAATAAGACTCCATCTCAAAAAAAAAAAAAAAAAAAAAGAAAGGATCATTCTGGCTGTTGATTGGAATAAAGACTGTAGCAGCAGCATGGGTTAGGGTTGAAGGTAATAGTACAGAGACTGTTGCTCCGAACTAGTATATATAGCGGAAACCGCCTTTGCAAAATTATGACTGAGACAGTGAAAATGATCTAACCTAACTGACTGCATCTTGGTTCTAATGTTTAAGCTGTCTTTGTTCCTTCCTGGGTGTAGGCTGAACTAACTTTGGGAGGAACTTAGTTTAAAACAAAGATAACAGGCCTTTCCCAAAACAAACCTTCCTCTTACCTGGGGACTAGACTGCCTTGGTAGGACTAACAAATTAGCCACAAGATTAGAAATTATGGTTTAGGAGTCATGCAACTGGAGGCTATAAGATTCTGACCCTCCCTGAACTTCTGAGATCAGTGCTTGAGATATTTTGCAGATTCTGAGCTTGATGGATCAGCTGGCACCGCACAGACTGAAAAACTGGCTCATCTGATCTGTGGCCCACACCCAGGAACTGACTCAGTACAAGAGGACAGCTTTAACTTCCCATGATTTCATCTCCTACCTAACCAGTCAGCACTCCTGGCTTGCTGGCATCCCCCCACCCACCAAGTTGTCCTTAAAAACTCTGATCCCACCAGGCACGGTGGCTCACGCCTGTAATCCCAGCACTTTGGGAGGCCCAGGTGGGCAGATCACAAGGTAAGGAGTTCGAGACCAGCCTGGCCAACATGGCGAAACCCCATCTCTACTAAAAATACAAAAATTAGCGCATGGTGGCAGGCACCTGTAATCTCAGCTACTCCAGAGGCTGAGACAGGAGAATTGCTTGAACCTGGGAGGACGAGGTTGGAGTAAATGGAGATCACAGCACTGCACTCCAGCCTGGGTGACAGAGCGAGACTCCGTCTCATAAAACAAACAAACAAACAAACAAACAAACAAAAAACAACTCTGATTCCCAACCTGGTGTGGTGGCTTATGCCTAGCACTTTGGGAGGCTGAGGTGGATGGATCACTTGAGGCCAGGAGTTCAAGTCCAGCCTGGCCAACATGGTGAAACCTCTGTCTCTACTAAAAAAAATACAAAAATTAGCTGGCTGTAGTGGTGCATGCCTGTAGTTCCAGCTACTCTGGAGGGTGAGGCAGGAGAATCATTTGAACCCTGGAGGTGGAGGCTGCAGGGAGCCAAGATTGTCCTATTGCACTCCAGCCTGGGCAACAGAGTGAGACTATGTCTCCAAACAAACAAACAAAAACTCTGATCCCCAAATGCTCAGGGACATTGACTTGAGTAATAACAAAACTTCCGGGCTGTGCGCGGTGGCTCACACCTATAATCCCAGCACTTTGGGAGGCCGAGGCAGGTGGATCACGAGGTCAAGAGATCGAGACCATCCTGGTCAACATGGTGAAACCCTGTCTCTACTAAAAATATAAAAAATTAGCTGGGCGTGGTGGCGCGTGCCTGTAATCCCAGCTACTCAGGAGGCTGAGGCAGGAGAATTGTGGTGAGCCGAGATCGCGCCATTGCACTCCAGCCTGGGTAACAAGAGCGAAACTCCATCTCAAAAAAAAAAAAAAAAAATTAATAATAATAATAAAACTCCTATTTCCTGCACAGCCCCCTCTGTGTGAATTACTCTTTCTCTATTGCAATTCCCCTGTCTTGATAAGTAAGCTCTGCTTAGGTGGCAGGCAAGACGAACCCACTAGGCAGTTACATAGTTGGAAGACAGCTCTGTACCTAAACTGTAGCTACGTCTATATCTACCTTGGTCCCTCTTAATTCTTACTATAGTAATTATTTTATTTTATGGATGTATCATAATTTTTCCTCAATTTAAGGATAGAGAATTCTTTTTTTTTTTTTTTAACAGGACCCTCTGTCACCCAGGTTGGAGTTTAGTGGCACAGTCTCTGCTGACTGCAACCTCTACCTCCCAGGCTGAAGCCTCCTGAGTAGCTGAGACTACGGGTGGCTAATTTACTTTTTTAGAGGTGAGGTCTCACTATGTTGCCCAGGCTGGTCTTAAACTCCTGGGCTCAATGATCTGCCTGCCTCAGCCTACCAAAGTGCTGGGATTGTAACCGCCCAAGGGGTTCAACTTCCATGTTACATAGACAGAGCCGATTAATCAAGAAGGGGGAATTGCAATAGAGAAAGTAATTCACACAGAGCCTGCTGTGCTGGAGCCTGGAGTTTTATTATCAAATCAATCTCCCAGAAAACTCAGGGATTGTTTGTTTCTTTGTTTTTTTTAAGACAGAATTTTGCTCTTGTTGTACAGGCTAGAGTGCAATTTCACTCTTGTTACCCACAGAATTTCGCCCTTGTTGTCCAGGTTAGAGTGCCTAGGCTGGTCTTGAACTCCAAACCTCAGGCATCCATCCACCTTGGCTTCCCAAAGTGCTGGGATTACAGGCATGAGCCACCACGCCTGGCCTGAGATCAGAGTTTTTAAGGCTAATTTGGTGGGTAGGGAGGCCAGTGAATCAGGAATGCTGATTGGTTGGCTCAGGGATGAAATTACAGGGAGTCAAAGATGTTCTCTTCTGCTGTCAGTTCCTGGATGGGAGCCATAAAACTGGTTGGCAGGTACAGTGGGGCCATCTGGTTGTTAGAAATGCAAAAAAAATGGCAGGTAATGTTTAGAATTCCAGCCTTTTTCATCTTGACTCCGTGGCCGGTGGCCTGTGGCCTTTCATTTGTTTTACAAGAACAGGTTAGCTTTTTGGAAAGGGCTATTATTTAAACTATACATTGAATTCCTTCCCAAAGCTATTTTGGCGTACACCCAGGAATGAACAGGACAGTTTAGAGGTTAGAAGCAAGATGGGTCATTTAGGTCTGATATCTCAGTTACGATTTTTTTGCAAAGGTGATTTTAGGATGACAGGCGTGAGCCAACGCGCCTGGCCCCTGATAGATATTTGGACTGGTCGCAACCCTTTTGCTTTTGCAAAAATGGAGTCATGAATACATCCTTTGTGCTCAGGTTCCCGCATATCTGGAGTTATTCCAAGAAGTATAATTGCTAGACATGAGGAAAAATAAATTATTCCTCAAATTGAAATTAAATCTGGTGATATAATTCTCCATCAAAGTAACCGATTTATTCACTCTTTGCCACACCACCCCTTCAGAGACTATAAAATAGAGGAATCTGCCACCCCTCCCACATCAGTTTTCTTGTCTTTAAATATTCCCAGTCTTGGCAGGGAGTGGTGGTTCACGCCCGTAATCCCAGCATTTTGGGAGGCCCAGGCGGGTGGATCACCTGAGGTCAGGGGTTGGGGACCTGCCTGGCCAACATGGCAAAACCCCGTCTCTACTAAAAATACAAAAATGAGGCAGGCGTGGTGGCACATGCCTGTAATCCCTGCTACTCGGGAGGCTGAGGCATGAGAATCGCTTGAACCCAGCTGGAGGGGTAGAGGTTGCAGTGAGCAGAGATTGCGCCACTGCGTCGCAGCCTGGACGACCAGGTGAGATTCTGTCTCAAAAACACAAAAACAAAAACCCAAGTCTAGCAAGCCACCGCCTGAGACTCCGACTCCTCCTCACACGGTCCCCATCCGAGGTTACAGAGAGATAAACTGAGGCACAAGCAGCATCCGAGGCCCAAGACCTCCCCCTGGCCTCACTATCCCCCTTTCCCTATCTTCCCCAGCCCAAGTTCCAACCCTCCTTCACTGCTCTGCCCTGAGACTCCCACCTCCTCGCTCCTTTGCCCCCTCCGCGGCTGCGGAAGGGGACGCGAACCGTCCTGGTCCCATCCGAGCCGCCGTAGCGCGAGCGCCGCGGGATTTCGGCAGCTCGGGTCGCCAAGGCAACGGGCTTCCCTGCGGTTTGCGGGCTGCGGGCGCCAGGCTGCCCCGGGGAGGCGCTGCGGGCCGGCGGCCCCGGCTCGGTGAGGCGGCGAGACCGCAGGTGAGCGGGAGCTGGAGGGCGGGTCGCGGCCCCAACGCTCGGGGCCTGGCGTCGACGCGTCGCGGGGGGCGAGGGGCTGCGGGGAGGGAGGCTGCGGCCCGACCTTAGTCCCTCGGCTGCTCGGGGGACGGCGCCCCCCACGCCCTTTGACCCCGCCCCGTGTTCAGGTAGAGTCCGCTTTCGGCTGTTTATTTATTATATATGTAGCCACTGGTCGACCTCATGCCAAAGTTTCTTAAAAAAAAAAAAAATCCCTTCTTATTTGGGGGTTGGGGAGTAACTCAAGACTGTGCGGAAAACCTGTATGTGCGTGCGACTGTTCTGGGGCCAGAGGGGATTGACTTCTTTGTGCGTCCGTTTTATCGTCTGCAAAATGGGCATGGTAGCACCTGTCTAATGACGTTATTACAAGGTAAATATATATTTCAAATTCGCAGAGATAAGTCCTCAATACGTGGGAGCTTTTGTTATTACTACTACTACAAGGAGGACCATCACTGAGCATTTATTGTGAGCCAGGGCCAGGGCTGATTGCCAGGGTAAAAAAGTGAACGAAAGACATTTTGGCCTGACGGTACTCCACAGTCTTCGGGAGGAGACAGGCACGTACACCAGAATTCACAGTGATTCCAGTTATGATTTCGGATATACAGAGGGCTATGAGTGCACGGAGAAAACTGGATTTCTGGAGGTGAGGTTAGCGTGGATGGTCAGAGAGAGAGATGCCGAAAGAAGGTGACTCCCAAAATGAGACAAGAAGGCCGCCTTTGTGTTGTCCAGAAGATGAGGCTGGTGGAGTGCACCTTGCTGTAGGCGGAGAAAGCAGTGTATGCAAAGCCCTGGGGAGAGAGTGCAGACTTTTTGGGAGTCTCCGAGGATTTCAAGCTAGCTGGAGAGCAGATTATGTGAGCTGGGGGAAGTCTGGCTAGATGGCGTTTGAGAGGCAAGCAGGTGCTCCTCCTGAAAGGCTGTCTTTGTAAGTGTGGAGGAGTTTGGGCTTTGTCTTGGGGGCACGTGGAAGCCATCAGAGGGTTTTAAGCAGGTGGTGTGTGTTTTTGATCAGAGGTACGGTTTCAGAAAGGTCAGTTTTTTTGTTCTCTCATCATTCCTACCATCTGTTTTTCACTTTGCAGGCATTCATTTGTGGTGATTCATATATATGTGTATGTGTGACTGTGTGTGTATGTATTTATTTTTGAGTTGAGGTGCCGGTATGTTGCTCAGGCTGATCTCAGATTCCTGGGCTCAAGTGGTCCTCCTATCTCAGCCTCCCAAGTAGCTGGGACTGCAGGTGCACACCACTGTGTTGGCTAATTCAAAAAATATTTAATGAGCATCTTCTATGTGCAAGGCACTGTGTAAGTAGTAAGGAAGCAGGTCCCTGGCCTCAAAGATCACAGATTGGTGAAGAAAATATGTATCAAACAGGTGATTATAATTGTAATGATAACTGTGAAAGGGGTTGCATGTTAATGTCAATCTATCGTAGTTTAGAGATTCTGGCAGGGTTTTGATAAAATGGAGGGAATAGTCTGAGTTAGCTATGGTGGGGATATTCCAAACATTCAAAAGTACATTCGTGGAGCCAAAAGCCTTCCACTACAATGGCAACTTAAAGATCAATACTGAAAGAGATCCATCCAGAGAGGTTAAAAAAAAAAAAAAAAAGGCTGAGTTTATTCAGGGCTACTGCATTGCATACTCTTGGAAGAAAGAGCCATTCCCTTAGGCTACACTAAAACGGCTTGAGAATGAGGAACGGGAGAGAAACCAGCAAAGTGTAGTAATGAAGGAAGGGGTTGGCCTTTCTAGATGTTGCTGAGATGTCAAGTAATATAAGTTAAAAATTAAATTGTGTCCTTTTGGGTAAATAAATATGGAGGTCAGTTGGAACCTCATTGAGTAGATTTGGTGAAATGGTTGGGGCGGAATCTATAATATCAGCAGCTTTCAGCGGTTCAATATAATATATCAGTGGGATGAGATAAGAGTGGGATGTGAGAAAGACAAAGTGTAGGCAGCTCAAAGAAGTTTGGCTGTGAAGGGAGGTAGAGAGAAGGCTGGGAGCGATTGGGGAATAAGGTGAAGGTTTTTTGAGCATGAGAGAGATTAAATGCTATTGGCAAGGAGCCAGTTGAGAGGGAAAGGCTGAGAAGATACCGTACAGGATATGACGGGGAGAATTGATAGTATGACTTTCCTGAGAAGGTGGGAGTGGAGGAGCTCAACAGCACACATCCTTCAATAGGAGTCTTATGCCTGTGACTTTTTGGAGATGTAGGAAGCCAGGTAATTCCTGAAAGGAGTGCACCAGTGTAATACAACAAAAATAAATAAAAGGTGTAAGTGTGGAAGGAAAATCACAATTTTCATTATCAGTAGATAGCAGGCATTTATTGAACTAGTAATTGTGTTAAGTACTTTTCAAGTACCATTCTTTTTCTTTTTTCTTTTTCTTTCTTTCTTTTTTTTGATACAGGGTATCACTCTATAGCCCATGCTGGAGTGCAGAGGTGCAGTCTTGGCTCACTGCAGCTTTTGCCTCATGTGCTCAAGCGATCCCCCTGCCTCAGCCCCTGCAAGTAGCTGGGAATACAGGTGTGAGCCACCATGCCCAGCTAATTTTTGTATTTTTAGTAGAGACGGGGTTTTGCCGTGTTGGCCAGGGTGGTCTCAAACTCCTGACCTTAAGTGATCCACCTGCATCGGCCTCCCAAAGTGCTAGGATTACAGGAATCAGCCACCGTGCCCTGCTTGTGTTCAGTTTTATCTCAATAACACAGTCTCCTGTACATATATTTATTTATTTATTTAGAGACAAAGTCTCACTCTGTCCCTCAGGCTGAAATGCCACTGTGCCCGACCTCATGCACCATTCTTTTTTTGAGATGAAGTTCACTCTGTCGCCCATGCTGGAGTGCAGTGGCACAATCTTGGCATCACTTCAACCTCTGCCTCCCAGGTTCAAGGGATTCTCCTGCCTCAGGAGGAGAATGAGCAGCAGTTATAAGACAAAAAGCAATAGCTTTATGCCAGGCATCCCCAAACTTTTTACACAGGGGGCCAGTTCAGTGTCCCTCAGACTGTTGGAGGGCCGCCACATACTGTGCTCCTCTCACTGACCACCAATGAAAGAGGTGCCCCTTCCTGAAGTGCAGCGGGGAGTGGGGGGGCCGGATAAATGGCCTCAGGGGGCCGCATGCAGCCCGAAGGCCGTAGTTTGGGGATGCCTGCTTTATGCAAACAACAATAGAAAAGGTAATAGGAGCAGTGACAATAGCAACAGGAAAAATAAATGGTTAGAAATAAACTTAAAAATATATGTACCTGGCCTAGCCATACAGAGTAAGAGTTGACTGGGCATGGGGGTGGGAAGACAGAATGAGTAAGATAAAGTAGTTTTCCCATGGGAATATCAGAGTACTGATACTAGAGAAGCGATAGGTTAAAAAAACAGGTGTCTATTATAAGTCATCATGAGATATTGAGTATCATGTTTTTATAAAATTGAAAAATTAGCCCGGTGCAGTGGCTCGCACCTGTAATTCCAGCACCTTGGGAGGCCAAGGTGGGCAGATGGTCTGAGGTCAGGAGACTAGCCTGGTCAACATGGTGAATCCCCATCTCTGCTAAAAATACAAAAAGTAGCCAGGTGTAGTGGTGCACGCCTGTAATGCCAGGTACTCAGGAAGCTGAGGCAGGAGAATCTCTTCAACCTGCGAGGCAGAGATTGCAGTGAGCCAAGATTGCACCTTTGCACTCCAGCCTGGACAGCAAGAGCGAAACTCCGTCTCAAAAAAAGAAAAAGACAATTAGGTGGGAGCTAGATATATTAGAAAGATGTTTACATTACATCATATGGTTAGGTGTAAAAAGCAGATTATAGTACAGTATGTTCCTGTTTTTTTAAATATTTGCATATTTATAATAAAAATGGAAATTCTAAAAATATCTTTTAAAAAATGTTAAATCTTTAATTGTGAGAAAATTTACCATCTTAACTATTTTTAAGTATATGGTTTTGTAGTATTTATTCGTGCTGTGCAATGGATCTGCACTTTTTCATCTTGTAAAAGTGCAAAAGTCAAACTATACCTTTAATAGGTTTAGCTCCCTATTTCCCCCTCCCACCAGTGCTTGGCGGTGCCCATTCTACTTTTGTTTTCTATGTGTTTGGTTACTCTAGATACCTTGTGTTAGTGAAATCTTGCATTATTTGTCTTTTTGTGACGGGCTTATTTCACTAGCATGGTGTCCTCAAGGTTCATCCTTATTGTGTAGCATGTGTCAGAATTTCATTCTTTTTATAAGGCTGAATATATTCTATTGTATGTTTATACCACACTTTGTTTATTCATTCATTGATGGTCCCTTTGAGTTGATTCCATCTTTTGGCTATTGTGAATAATACTGCAATGAAACCTAAGTGTACTAGAAAGGTAAGCTGTTTATGAGATCATGGGAAAACTTTTATTCTGTTCCTCATTTTCCTTAATTTTCCTTTTTTATGAGCATGAATTGCTTTCATAATCAGTAAAAAAATCAGGAAGTATCTTGTTTAGGGTTCTGGGGAAATAAGGGTAAAAAACAGCAGTGGCAGTGAGAAAGGAAAGGAGAGGGCAGATATGAGAGACATTTCAGAAGGAGATTCAACAGGATGTGCCCACTAAGAGGTAAGGGAGAGAGGAGTGGAAGATGAAGCCTTCTTGGCCTGTGGTTGGAAGGGCTATCAGTCCTGGTGGGGCTTTGACTAGGGGAAGAGGGAGGAAATAAGGTTGGAGAGCCACTCAAGCCTTTGTTTAGCAGTTTGGACTTCTAGAAGGTAGAGAGAAACCATTGAAAGGAAGTGAAATGACTTGATCTGATTTGCACATAGAGAGATTACACTGGCTCTTTCCAACCGTTCTTCAAGCTGAAGCCTGATAGTGCCAAATATCCCTTTGTGTTGCTTATACTTGAACTTCTATTAATTTCCTTTTATTTGAGATGAACCTTTAGTA